CAGGTGAGTCAGGCCCCTCCCAGGAGCTCCCGCCCCCTCCTCCCCCACCGCGGGGCCCCACTCACCTCCACGATGGCGTCCACGGGGCAGGCCTCCTGGCAGAAGCCGCAGTAGATGCACTTGGTCATGTCGATGTCGTAGCGCGTGGTCCGGCGGCTGCCATCGGCCCGTGGCTCAGCCTCGATGGTGATGGCCTGGGCGGTGGCACAGGGGACTGTCAGCTGCTAGCCACACTGGCCCCTGGCACAGGATTCAGCCCTGCATGGGCCTACAGAAAGGCTCCTCTGTCGTCCACTCTCAGCCCTCGTGGGCCTTTCCTGACTCCCCTCCTAAGAGGCCACGTGGCATGGCCATGAGGCCGGCCTCTGCATGCTTGCCCGAGCCGACACTCTCATTTGCTATCGGCCAGCACCTCCTGCCCGAGGACGCGAGTCCCACGAGGAGAGGGCTGTTGCCTGCCTGGCACACCATAGCACCTGCAGCCCCAGGGGGTTTCACCCTGTAAATAATGCACTTTCTGCTGGCTGCAAGTTGAACAACCCTCCCAACTAACCTAGTTATCTCCACTTAATGGATGAGAAAACTGAAGCTCAGAAAGGTGGAGGGCCTTCCCAAAGCCAAGGAGTAAACGAGGAGCAGAGCCCAGACTCAAACACAGGTCCTTAACTCTCAGTTCCCGGGTGCAGCCTGGCACCGCCGAAGGAAGGGGTGGCCCAGGGCTTCCGCAGAGGCGAGGACCTTCAAAGGGATGTGGCCATGGCCCTGAGACGTCCCCAGGAGCATAAGGCCCACCACTCACAGAGGGACCTTTGCCTAGCAGCCTCTCTCTTTGTGCCTCAGTTTCCTCCTCTATAAAAATGGGGATAATAACCCTGACCACCTAGAGCTGCTGCAGAGAGAGGTCATGAGCTTGGCACAGTGCTGGTCTATGGTTGGCACTCACTGCCCAGATGCCACTGTTATTTCTGGGGGGGCTCTTATGTGCTCCAGAGACTGGGGACTGCAAGGTCACAGCTCATGGGCTGCAGAACCTGGGAGTGATGCAGGAGACGAGCCAGGACTCGGGCGGAAGCCGTCCTGAGCAACCGCTGGGAGGGGGACGCTGTGTGGACAGTGAGGACCCTGTGACTGCTGTGTACTGCCGGGCACATCCACCACCTGAGCGCCCCCCACTTTGTCTGTTTCTGCACCCACAGGCTGTGACTCTTGGCAGTCCGTGCGGGACCCTCAGACAGAACCAAATGCCAGGGGCTCAAAGGAGCTGCAGCCAGGGGCAGCAGGCGGCCCGGCTGTGGCCCGAGTGGCCCCGGGTCCGGCCCTGTGAAGGGCGCACGTGTAGGCAGGGCTCCTGACACTGCTGCTGCACCATGTCAAAGTGGTGGCTCTGGCCTGGCTCTCACACTCACGACCAGACCCCCAAGGGCAGGCCCCAAGTGTGTCCTGTGGTCTGCTCAGGACTGGAAGCTTCCCTCCATTGACTCACCACCTCTGAGTCGGCTCCGGCAAAAAGGCCTCATGGTTCCTATCCTGGGGCAAGTGGCTCAGAGCGGGAGGGGACTTCCCTGGGGACACACCCAGCAGGGGGTTGAGAACTGGGACCCAGGGCTGCCCGCTTCTCTTTCTCTCTGCAGCAGACTGTGGCCACCCCTTCCCAGCGGCCGGGGTCAGGGTGGCGGTCAGCTGGGGTCGGGGCATACCTGGGCAGGGCAGACGGCCTCACAGAGCTTGCAGGCGATGCAGCGCTCCTCCCCGGACGGGTATCGGCGTAGCGCGTGCTCCCCGCGGAAGCGCGGGCTCAGTGGGCCCTTCTCAAACGGGTAGTTGATGGTGGCCGGCTCGCGGAACAGGTAGCTCAGGGTCATGCCCAGGCCTGGGGGCAGCACGGGCGCAGTGGAGGGGGGCCCTCCTCCCTCCCACATCTCTACCCACCCTGAGCCTGCCTTGAGCCTCCCATCCCCCGGGCCCACCTCGAACGAGCTCGGTCCACAGCAGGGTCTGTGCTGCCCGGTCGGTCACCGACTTCATGTCCATCGCGGGCTCCCGCAGGTTCACATACTCTGCAGGGGAGGTGGGCAGAGAGGCCATGGCAGGGACCACGCACAGGCCCTCTTCAAGGACTCCAGCTCAGGAGATGAGGCCTGGCCTCCTAGACATAAGATCTGGGTCCCTGGGGGGCTTGTTCATTCACCAAACGCCCCCTGCCTCAGTAACCCTCGAGGCTGGCCTCCGGCCAGGGGCAGCCCTGGCCTGCTTCTCCCTCCGCCTGTGTAGCCATCCAGGCCCGGAGGGGACGCAGGTGGGGCTTGGGTGCTCGGGTCCTGAGGAGGAGGTACAGGCTCCCAGGGCTCACACCTGGCAGTCCCCTCCTGGTCCCACGCAGGGAGGTCTGAGATCACAGGCATAGCCACAGGAAAGGACCCCCCCCCCAACCCCACCCCCGCTGCCCTGCAATAACAGACCCCTCCCCCATGAATCATCTTGATCACCCGCTTCGTTTTACAGAGGGGAAACAGGCTTCGAGAGGGGGAGCCCCCAGCAAAGCCAGGACGAGAACCCAGGCCTTCGCCCCTGCCCCCGGCAGGACCATGATCACCAAGCCTGAGGCTCGAGGCACCCCGGGACTCACTGTAGGTGGCTGCCACTGCACTGCTGTGAAGGCCCCGGCCACTGGCATGCCCTGCAAGGAGAAGGGTTACGCCATGCAGATGTGACCTCATGCCAGGAGGCTGGGCGCCCACACCCTGGAAAGGTGCCCTTGGTCCTACCTGCACGTGCGGCCTGGGCCTGGGCCAGGGCCCGAAGCAGCGTGGGCACGGTCAGGCAGCGCATCTGTGGGGTGTGAAAAGAGAGGCAGGCACAGGTGGGTCCCAGACAGGTGTGGTCCTCCCCATATGAAACTCCAGCACGCCACTGTGGCGTCTCGGCCCCTGCTCACCCTCGTTCCTGCCAGAGGCACAGATGGCCTCCCTGTTCCCAGCAGCTGCCCCTCTCAACCTCCAACCTGACCCAAGTAACACTGACTTGCATTTATTGAGAGCTAGCCGTGCCAGGCACAGTGCTAGGGATCACAGGTGAGACACTGTCATGTTAAGTGACTTGCCCAAAGTCGCATACTGAAGGGAGGGTTCCTGATGTGAACCAGGCCAAACCCCACCCTTCACACCCCCCAGCCTTCCCCTGCTGGGACCCCTTAAAGGCTTAAATAACCCTCAAGATCAAATTCCTCTCCCCTGCCCCCCGCATCAAGGTCCTTCTGGAACTGCCTCCCTGCCTGCCGAATGACCTTGGGTTTTCTCCTCTGTAATAAGGGGGTCAGGAGGATGGAGGGGGGCTCGAAGAGGCCACGGGTTTAGCCCAGAGCCTGGCACTTAGCCAGAGCCGCAAAGTGCCCTTCCCGTGACCTGCGACCTCTGGCGGGCCCATTTCTTTCGACCGCTGACTTCAGGGTCAGGTGCCCAAACCGGCTCCTTCCTTAACTTTCCTCCCGACCTCTGACCCCACGGAGTCGGCGGCGCATGCGCCCTGGAGGCCGCCGGCGTCCCGGTCACCCCCGCCCCCGGCTGCACGCCCAAGGACACGGCGGCCGCGCGTGCTGAGCAGGCCGAGGTGAAACCTGGGCGCGGAGCCGGCAGGGCCCACGGGGGCCGCACCCCCGCCCCCCGATGCCGCGCTGCCTAGACTCGGCCTTAAGGGCTGAGACCGCATCACCCACCTTGAAGCGCGGCCGCTCATGGGGTCACAAAGAGTCGGACACGACTGAGCGACTTTCGCTTTCACTTTGGAGCCCTCCAGTCAGGAATCCTCCAGTTAGGATTCTCCAGGCAAGAATACTGGAGTGGGTTGCCATTCCCTTCTCCAGGGGATCTTTCCGACCCAGCGATCGAACCTGGGTCTCCCGCACTGCATGCAGACGCTTTATCATCATAGCTGTGCTTGCTCTATGCCAAACCTCCACCCGGGCAGCTTCACTTAATCCTCACCACAACCCTATGTGGAGGAACGATTTACGAATGGGAAAACTGAGACCCGGGCTTGTGCAGGAGCTTGGGCCAATCCTTGAGAGCTGCGCAGTGCGGCCGCCTCAACCGCTCCTGGATGTATACGACTTGGGAGCCCCATAACCCAAACAGCCACCAAACAAACCCATGTTTCCTCCCGGTGACTTGTGTGGCAGAGGGAACTGGGAGGCTGCAGACACTGAGAAGACCCCGAAGGCCGCCCGTATCTTGGGGGGGAGAGGGGGGCCAGGAGTGGAATGTGGACAAGGAGGTCTTCCTGGAAGAGCTGACATCCAAGCAGAGAGCACGGAGGGGTTGGGCAGAACAAGAAGGGCCAGAGGGCGCGCCCAGGGCGTGTGCGGAAGCCGCTGGAGCAGGACACATCAAGGGCATCAGAAGAGGACGAGGATGGCGGTGCAGGGCGAACGCGGGGCTGTGGCAGAGCCTCCGAAGGGACATTTCCCGTCCAGACGTGGGCTAGAGGGAGCCAGTGAAGGGGTTCAGGCTGAGGCCTGGCATGGTCCAGTGGGCTTTGGGAAGGTCTGTGGGTGCACTGAGGAGAAGGACCGGGCCTGCGGGAAGAGGGTAGGTGATGGATGGCCCTGGGCACAGCCTTTAGAGTGTGAATTGGGGAGATCTGTGGCGTCATCGAATCATCAGGAATTGCTCAAAGATGGGACTTGGGAGGTAGAAGGGAGTGTCCAGCAGGAGGCTTGGGAGTTTGACAGCTGAATGGGTGGGGACCGCTCCATAGCATCGAGGTTCAGGAGGATGAGCAGATCAGGGAGACGGATGAGCCCAGGGTGGGACATGGAGGGGGAGGATGCCCAGGGCCAGCCATTTGGGGGACAGGAGCATGTTCAGAGCACCTCTGGGGCCCAAGCTGAAGGGAAGGGGGATCTACTGCGGGCATCTCATCAATCTTTCCTGGAGGGAGAGGTGGGGAGAGAGACAAGGGAGGCAGTGTCCCCCCACCCGAATCAGGAGACAGGACGCTGGAGCTTGGAGTCCGCAATTATGTTCCAAAATTTAATCCTCACAATGATCTCAGGAGATGATGTTCATCACCTCCTCTGTACATGAGATAGGGGGGCAGGCTCAGAGAGGGCAGGGACGACCCAGGTCATGGCAGGTCCACAGCAGGGCATGGACCAGATGCCAGGGCCCCTTCTGCACCCCTCCACAGAAAGAGGGGTCCCGAGAAGTGCCCACAGCTGCCCGACTCTCCTGGGACATAGGTGGCCAGTCTGGGAGCTAGAGAGCAGGCTACAGTTTCCCACGCTCCCACACCTTGGCCCATCCTGGTTGGGGGGCAGCTGAGGGCCTGAAAAGAGAAGGGAGGAAGGCAAGCACTGGTCTGGACTGAGGCCTTGGCAGATCCTTTCCCCCTGCGTCGTGGATCCCAGGTCGTGTCTCCGCCAGCCTCAGGTGTCCACGGCAGCAGAGGACTCGTGGACGTGGGCTGGAAGGGACGCTCGGTGCCCCCGTGCCTGGGGTGGGCTCAGAGCAGGGTGCAGCTGCAGCTGCGGGTCCCCATAGCCATCAGCAGCACCCTCAAGTTGCGGGGAGTGTGGGGCGGGTAGCGGATGGCGTAGATCTTCTCCAGCCCCGGGGGGCGCAGCAGGCAGGCGCGGTGGTGGGAGAAGGTGTCGAAGGAGAACCTGCCGTGGTAGTTGCCCATCCCGCTGCTGCCTGCAGAGGGGCAGGGGGCGCGACGGTCAGGCCCCCCAGAGGGGCAGGGGGCGCGACGGTCAGGCCCCCCAGAGGGGCAGGGGGCGCGACGGTCAGCCCCCCAGAGGGGCAGGGGGCGCGACGGTCAGGCCCCCCAGAGGGGCAGGGGGCGCGATGGTCAGGCCCCCCAGTGGCCAGCCGAGGGCTGTCAGACACACTGGGCTCTGCCGGTCACGGGGTAGGACCTGGGTGGGCTGCTTCATCCCCTGAGCCTTGGTTTCCCCACCTGTAAAGTGGGCTAGTCATGAGATGCTGTGGGTAAAGGGCTTAGCCCCACCCTGGCACCAGCACCCAGTCAAATAAATGTTGAGGACGCCAGGTCTGGGGCAAGATGGGTGGACGGTGGGTGAGTGGCCCCAACCCAGGGATCAAACCCTGGTGTCCTGCATCGCAAGCAGATTCTTCACCATTTGAGCTACAGGGAAGTAGTGTGTGTGTGTGTCTGTGTGTATAAAACTGAATTGCTGAAACCAACACATTATTGTAAATCAAATATACTTCAGTTAAAAAAAAAAAAAAGAGGGAGGCAAGATGGAAAGTAAGGAAAGCAACCCTACAGTGGATTCTGGGGTGACTCCCTAGGTTTGAATCCCAGCTTTGAACTGGCAAGTGACTTCGCCTGGTCTCTCTCTGTGACGTGGGGTGACAGTGGCACTACCTTCTAGAGTCGTGGGAACAAGTGTTCAGCCCCATAGGTACAGTGAGTGCTGTGTTGAGTCCACAATGTCTAGCTAGGTAGGGAGGCAGTCAAGGACCAGGTAGTAGGAAGTCCAGGGGATGCAGCCTGATGGAAGCAGGGGCAATCTGAGAGGGCTTCCTGGAGTGGGTGAGGCCTGAGGGATATGGCATTGACCAGATAAAGTGGGCATGTGGGGGCAGGAAGGCCCCAGATTGAGGGACAACTCAAGAGAGCGTTGGAGGTGGGTGACCTGGCTGTGCTGGGACCCAGGTCAAGCTCCGTGTGGCTGAGGCAGCAGCTAGGGAAACGGGAGAGGAGGCGGGAGCAGGACTCCACGGCCAGGCCAGGCAGGGCCAGCCTCCAGAAGCTGAGTTGGGGTCCTGTGGCTCCGTCAGGGGCTGGGAATTATGGGGGGCTTCGTCAGGGGAGTAACAGGACCAGGTTCACCCACCGACAGACCCGCTCACTTCCCTGAGGAGGAGGGACTGGGCCTGGAGGTGGGGAGCCAGGTGGGCTGGGGGCGGGACTTCCAGAAGGGGGTCGGTCCGTGCCCAGCCCTGGGAGGGCCTGTAACCACCAGGGCAGCCCGCCAGGCCCTGCCAGTCATTTACTGCGGTGCCCAGTGTGGGCCCTCTCGTCCCCTGAGGACACGGTCGCTCAGAGAGGGGCCGTGGTGGCCCCACCTCACACAGCCATCGGGCTTGCTGGGGCCAGCCTCAGAGGCCAGGACCTTGCAGCCAGCTTGGGGGCTGCTAGGGCCTGGTGCAGGGGAGAGCTGACAGCAGCCCCCCATCTCCGTCATGGGCCCGAGGGGGTGTGGGAGGGCTCGAAGGAGCCGCGTGTAGCCGCATGTGGAGTAGAGAGCACAGCCGGGCCGCCCTGCACGCGCTGCCAGGCCATTCGGGGAGAAAAGCCGCAGCAGGCACCGTGGACGGAAATCACAGTGATGTTGAAAACAACCTAAGTTGTGTGTCTGTGGGTCCGCCTGCGGATGGAAGTGCCAGGACCGGCGTGGAAGGTTCCACTCCAGGCTCTGCGGAGGGGAACGGGGGGAGGTGAGAGATGGTACCTACCCACTCCTCCAAAAGGCAGGCTGGCCAAGGTCAAGTGCATGAAGCCGTCGTTCCCACAGAAGCCCCCGCTGCTGGTTTGGGCCAGGACCCGCTTCACCACCTAAGGGGAAGCAGCGGTGAGGCTGGTGAGGGAGCTGCCGGGGCCCCAGGGCTCTACCTGACCCTCCTCAGAATCCCGAGGCTCCATCTGGCCCCCTTGGCACACCGGGGCCCATGGCAGGGTCTGAGGCCACCATGTGAGCTGAAGAGTAGCCTGCCACCCCCACATCCCCACTGGAGATGTGTGTCTTGAGCCTCCCTTGAGTGTGGTCCATGAAGGCGGCCGCGGACACAGACTCAGGCTGGCAGAGGAGGCGGGAAACCCCGCCTCCTCCCAGGGTCGTGGAGGGGCGGGCGATCAGGGGGATGCCCTGGGAGAGATGTGAGGTGCCTGCTGGGTGTCCAGAGGGCAGAGGTGAGTAGGAGGGACCCCCCCACCCAGGGTGAAGGCCAGGTGGGGAGGCCGAGGGGCAGGGAAGCTGTGGGAGGCCTTACGGTCTGCACCACCGGGAGGACACTGAGATTTGTACTTTGGAAACATGAATTTGACCCCTGCTCTACTTAGGGAGGGCCCTTCCTCTTCAGTCTGTGGACCCTAAAGAAAGATTCAGTTCAGTAGCTCAGTCGTGTCTGACTCTGCGACCCCGTGGACTGCAGCACACCAGGCTTCCCTGTCCCATCACCAAGATGAGCAGACACTAAAGACTTGTTGCACAAAAAGTTGGCTGCAGTTAATTACAACGTGTGACCCTCAGGTCACAGCTAGATCAGGGCCTGCCCGCAGAGTGGAACCCCATCCTCAGGGTCAGAAAATCCCGTTGAGACCTGCAGTAAGGACAGCAGAAGGCAGAGTTGAGACCATCAGTGCTCAGTGAGGACCCAGGGCAGGGCACGCGGGGTGGGATGAGGGTTTGCTCTGGAACAGTGCTTGAAAGCTTGAAAGCTGATTGGCCAGATGACCCCCCTCCCCGCTTCCAAACACCTGTGTAGCACTTCCTTTTTTGACTGCTCTGTGCAGCATGTGGAGTCAGTTCCCCCACCAGGGAGTGAGCCTGTGCCCCCTGCACTGGGAGCAGGTTTAACAGAGCCTTAACTGGATAACAAGGAAAGTCCCTGGGTTGCATTTTCTAAAGTTAACAATATGCAGATAAACAAGGGCTCCTTGGAGGAACAGCTGATTCTAGGGCCAGGAAGCTTGTAGACCCAGAAAAGAAGGAAGTGGTGGGAAAACCAAAGGATGGGCAGGTGTCTGGGACAGAGCAGCTCCCAGGGCCCAGAGGCCGGACAGGTTGAATGAAAATCAGTTGCTATTGGGGACAGGTTGAACAAGGAAACAAATCAGGTGGCATTTGGTTGTAACCCGGAAAATAAAGCAGATGCACTGGAGTCCATGTTGATATAAAGAACCAGGCTTCCCTGGTGGGCCAGTGGTTAAGACTCCATGCTTCCACTGCAGGAAGCACAGGTTCAGTTCTTGGTTGGAGAACTAAGATTGCACGTGCCACGTGGCATGGCCAAAAAGAAAAAAGGCATTGATATAAAGAACCAGGCCAAGATTCCAGGTAGGATATGTAGGTGTTCCCCCTCCAGCAGGTAGAGCTTACTCTCACCACCTTCCATTGAAGGTAGGCTAGACTTAGTGACTTGCTCTCACAGAAGAGAATAAGGAAAGGGAAAAATAGTCCTTGGTGGAGACCTGTGCCAGATTCAACCTTGGCCAGGGATGAAGGTTAACCTCACCAGTGATGCATGGATCTCATAGTCCCCTGAGGATGAGCAGAGATGGGCCCTTGGCCCTGTGGGTTTCTTTCATGAGAGAAACAGCTGGCCACTGATATGGGGGACATTCTGCAGGACAGAAGGCCAGCACCGCGTAAGCTGAGAGATGACCACAAGGGGATCAGAGGAGCCATGGCAACTAAATGCAGCTCAGGACCCTGGCCTGGATCCTGGGGCGGAAAGAAAAACTGGCAAAATCTGTCTAAAGCCTGGAGTGTGGTTGACAGCAATGTGCCAATGTCAGTTTCTTAGTTTTGACCAACATAAGGGGAGAAACTGGAGTATATGGGTCTTCCCTGGACTCTCTGCAACTTTTCTGTAAATCTAAAATTATTCCAAAATTAAAAGTTTATTTTAAAAAAGGCTTGCTAGGACTTTCCTGGTGGTCCAGTGGGTAAGACTCCATGCTCCCAGGGCAGGAGGTCTGTGTTCCACCCCTGATCGGAGAACTAGATCCCACATGCCTGCTGCAACTAAGAGTTCGCATGCCACAGCTAAGACCTGACACAGCCTAAATAAATAAAATAGAAAGTAAAAGAGCATTGTCCAGGGGAATCCCCTGGAGGGTCTGCACTGCCACTGCGGGGGCCATGGGTTCGAGCCCTGGTTGGGAACTAAGATACTGCATGCTACACAGCACACCGGGATGGGGCGGGGGGCAGGAGGGAAGCATTGCCCAGCCTATGAGGGGTCTCAGGAGTGCTGGGGGTGAGGGACGTGTGTTCTGAGCTGGAGATTGCTGGCCACACACATGTGAGCCTCCCCTCCTGGGGACGGGCAGGGGACCCCAGGGAGGGGCAGGGGACCAGGGCTCACTCTTGGGTCTGCGTGTTCTGGTCATTCATCCCCTCTCAGTCATTCCATCCCATGTTGTGTGTGCCTTCCACGAGCCAAGCACTGAAGGGGACAGTGTGGCCACCAGGCAGAGATGATGCAGAATAAGAGAGGCCAGGGCTGACCTAGAGGGGACGCTGGGCCCTAGAGGAGACCCTGGGGAGCTGCCCACTAAAGGCCCAGGAGAACGTGGCCTAGATTGAAAGGCAGGGGGGAGGCCCTGCTGCCCCCAGGAGAAAGGAGAGAGACAGAGCCAAGCGTGCCTCCTGTCAGTGCCCCCGAGGGCCCAGGACCCCCTGCCCTCCTGCCAGGCCCATTGGTTCACTCTGGTCGTGGAGCCATCGCCCTCTGCTGACCCCACTCCACTCTCCACTGCTGCCACCTGCCCCCGCCTGCGTCCAGCCCTACCTGGCTGCTCTTGGAGAAGACGTAGAGGGCCAGGGGCTTCTCCCGACGGTTGATGAAGTCGATGGCCTGGCCCAGGCTCCTCACGTTCACGATGGGCAGGATGGGCCCAAAGATCTCCTCCTGCATCACCGGCTCGGTCTCCTGCACGTCCACTAGCACCGTGGGGGCTGCCCAGGACAGGGGTCTGCTCAGCCCAGGGGCGGGGCCTCTGGTGGGCGGGGTCTCGGGTAGGTGGGGCCTATGGTGGGCGGGGCCTCTGATAGGTGGGGCCTATGGTGGGCGGGGCCTCTGATAGGTGGGGCCTATGGTGGGCGGGGTCTCTGATAGGTGGGGCCTCTGGTAGGTGGGGCCTCTGGTGGGCGGACCCGCGGGATGTCAGGGCCCAGGGACTCAGATGTCCCAGGGATGGTACCATCCCCGCAGCCCCCGGGAAGTGACCACGAGGGGCTCCCCAACCTGACAGGGTCTGTGAGGCCCAGAGAACCATTCAGCCTTGGTCTCACAGTCAGAGGGTGACCCGATCTTAGACCCCAGAGGCTAAGGCCGCAGGTCCCAGCCTGTTAGACCCTCCAAGTCGTTTGGCCCAGGAGACCAGGGCTCTTTGTTCACAGCAGAGCGGATACTCAGGACGGGCAGTGGAAGCTGAGAACCGGAATCGTGGGCACGTAGCACTTGGGGTCGTGTGGCCCGTGGAACAGCAGATCAAGGGGCTGAAGTTGGGAACCTGAGCCTAGAACTCTAGGGTCTGTCTGACCTTGGAGAACTTGGGCCAGAGTGTGGAGTCGTGGGGTCGCAGGCTCAGACCCCAGCAACAGGGAACACCAGTGTCACGAAGTCGTGGCACCAGGCTGGGCTGTAGCAGTGGGGTCGGGGGAGCCTCAGAGCCCAGACTCGGGGCCAAGCTGTGGCCTCCAGCGTGGAGGGGCCTTCGCTGGGGTGGGGGGTGTGGGGCACAGTGGCAGGGAGGGCGGGGCTCACCGATGTAGAGATCACTTTCATCACTCTGGCCGCCAATGGCCACGCGACCGCAGCTCAGGAGGCCCCGGAGCCGCTGGAAATGCTTCTCGTTGATGATGCGGCCCAAGTCCGGGGAGCTCTGGGGGTCGTCGCCATAGAAACGGGTGATGGCACTCTGCAGGGCGGGCACCAGCCGCGTCTGCATCTCAGGGCTGCACAGGACGTAGTCGGGGGCCACGCAGGTCTGGCCGGCATTGAAACAGCGGAAGAAGGCCACCCGGTTGGCCACGGTCTCGGGGTCGCAGTTGTCGTCCACGTAGCAGGGGTTCTTGCCTCCCAGCTCCAGTGTGACGGGCGTCAGGTGCTTGGCGGCGGCAGTCATGACAATCTTGCCAACTTGAGGGTTCCCTGGGCAAGGAGTCCCTCTGACCTGACGCGGCAGCCCTGGCACCTCCCCCCGGCTGCTGCCTCTCCTCTGTGCTGGTCGCCCTGGTCTCACAGTCCCTCCTCCGCTCAGCCACCCCAACCACTCCCGATGCCCCCCAGGCCTTGAGGCCCTCCTGCCCATGCCTGACCAAGGGGCCATGCTGCCATTTGTGTCGTGATGACCCTGGTCCTTCTCCCCAGCCAGCACGGCCCGAGGGAGCCCGAAGCCCAGTCACCTCTCTGGTCTCACTTCCTCCTGCTTCCCTGTCATTGGTCCCCTCTATCCAGGCCCCCCTCACCCCCCAGGTGCCCTCCCTTGACCACAGCTCCTCTCTCAGGGCCTCCTATCTTTGTCAAACACCTCCTTGACCATGAGGCCATCCTGACCAACCCCCACCACGTGCCTTCCCACCTCTGCCCTGATCAACTTGGAATGGGCTCCATGACAGTGCAGGAGACCTTGTCTTCCAAGCCCTACTTCATCCCAAGGCCTGGCTGTGCCAGGCCCGGTCTGCGCTCTAGTAAACATTCACTGAGCAAGCAGGTGAGCGAGTGAGTGGATGCTGCCCGGGCCACGTGCTGTGACAAAGGCTTTCATTCATCCACTATCCTTAGGACAGGCCTGAGACTTGGGGATGGCCCCTGTCCCACTGATAAGGAAACTGAGGCCTGGACAAGTCAGGAGATGTGGCAGAATGCCTTCTGATGGCCCATCAGCCTCTGCACAGACTGCCTCGAGGGCCTGACCTGGACATTGGCCTCTGGGGTCTGCCTGCCTTGCCTCTGCACCCTCAGTGCTGAGGGACCAGGGCCCAAAGCCCACTGAGATTTGGGGTGTGGCAGTGGAAGGTGAGTGGAGGGTGGGTGGTAGGCCCCCCCGCCGGCTGCCTCCTCCTGGTATTCCCGCCCCCTGGGAATCTGGAGGAACAGCTGAGGACCCTGCCTCTGTGCTCATCCCGTCTCCTTCACTGTCCGTTACGGTGGCAGCTGGCAGGCCTTGTCCTGGGTTCGCGGCAGGGTCTGGGGAGGAGAGAGGCCGAGACAGCATCCCCAGACAGGGACGAGGTGTGCCATGGGGAAGGCAGGTCTGGCCTCCCTCCTCCGGGGCCTGGCCCACTCACACGGCTGTCTGCCTCCTCCACCCTTTCTTCTCTTCTGGGAATTCTGCCCTGGTCCCCTGAAGCTAGGTGGTGTCTGGGCCCCATGGGCACATGCCAGGGTGATGGCAGGTGACCTCTGGGGGCAAAATCCAGCCTAACCCTGGCTAGTGAGGTGGGCACTGCATCACTTTGTCACCCAAGTCTCTGGACCCTCATCCATCCAGCCTTCCAGAAGGGCCGTGGGGTGGTGAGGGAGTGCCTGGCACAGTCGGAGCTCACTCAGCAAGGGCAGATGCTGTGACATGTGACACTGTGATTGATGGAGAGGCCTGTTCCCTGGGACAGGGCCCAGCTCCCCAAGGGTCCCAGGGGTCCAGGGCCGCTCTCCAGCCTGCTTGTCCCGGAGCCAAGCGCAGCCCCCAGCACTCACCCCTGTGTCCTCCCTGACTGGCTGTCTACCTCTGTCCTCTGAGCTTCTCTCCAGCAGCTGGGGACAAGGCCCCGAGGGTGGAGCTGAGCTCAGGCCTCTTGCCCCTCCCATCCCATGCTTCCCGCAGCCGGCATCCCGCAGCCGGCATCCCGCAGCCGGCCCCCTGCACCTGGCCCCTCACCCGTGAAGAAGATGTAGTCGAACTTATGCTCCAGTAGCCGCCCAGTCTCCTGGGGCCCGCCCAGCACCACGGCAAAGCAGCTCTGCAAGGGGGGATGGACAAACAGAGGTTCCCTCTGGGGTCCCAGCCTGAGAGCCCAGGTGGCTGCCTGCCTGCCTGGGGCTGTTCCGCCCTTGCCTGGCCTGACCCAGTGATGCCAGGGCTCCAGGTGGGCTGGGTGGGGAGCTGGGAGCCCCCCAGGGACACTGGGCACGGGCAGTACCAGCCCACCACGTGTGAGGTTGGGGCCTGGCAGAGTTAAGGTGGGGACAGAGGCCAGGGTGACCAGAGACAGGCAGGGAGCCCCTGGGGACAGGCGCCACCCCTCTGTTTCATGCAGAGGGGAACAGAGAAGCTGGTGACTTGGGCAAGGCCACACAACCCAGAGGAGGTCGGAACTCAGGTCTTGCCCCGGGCCCAGGGGGCTGGCCTGGCCCTGCTTGGCCCCAGTGTGGCTGCCGGTCTGCACCTGGCCCGGCTCACCTGGTCCAGGTATCCGGGCAGCACCTCGGCCAGGACCTTCTCAGTGTTCTTGCTGATCTCCGAGGGTTTCAGGACCACGCAGTTCCCTGTGGGGTGGGGCGGGGAGAGGGCGGGCTGTGTGTAGCCATGCCCCATCTCCACTGGGTCCTCACACCTGCAGGGCAGGAGCCCACCTCGCTCCCCCTCCAGGCGAAGAATAAAGCTGGGCTCAGAGAGGTGCGGTGCCAGCCCCAAGGCCACATACATGGAAACCAGGCCGTCATAGGCACCTGGTGCCAGCCCCCCCCCCCACTCCTCCCTGGCTCTGGGGCAGCTGCCACGAGGCTGGGAGGGGATGGGCAGGGGGCCGGGAAGGCCGAGGGTCCCTCTCACCTGCTGCGAGGGCGCCCACCAGGGGCCCCAGGCTCAGGTTCAAGGGGTAGTTCCAGGGGGAGAGGATCAGCACCAGGCCGAAGGGCTCCTTCCGGATGAAGGCCGAGTCCAGCTGAGTGGCCTGGGCCAGGGCCAGAGTGGTGGAGAACAGTGAGGGGCTGGGGTCTCAGCCTGTCAGCTACCCTCCACCCAAAGAGGCCCCCTGATCCCAGCGTCACTCACCAGGTTCTTGGACACTTTCTCATCTTTCATCCAGGCCCTCAGGTTCCTAAGGGCCAAGTTAATCTCGTTCTGGCTGATGCTGATTTCAGACACCTCTGCCTCGAAGGCTGACTGCAGGGTGGGTGAGGGGGAAGGGGCAGGGTCAGGGCTAGGATTGGGGACCCAGGATCCACATGTGGCTGGAGCCCTGGAGAGGGCTGGAGCCCTGGGGAGGGCAAAGCCTGTCTTGTTGACTCATTCATTCATTCATTTATTCACTCCACGTTCACTGAATGCTTACAATGTATGGGTCCCACTCCTATGCTGGGAACGTAGTGGTTATGAAGCAGACAGAAGACCTGCCCCACGGAGCTGACGTTGTGGTGTGGGGCACAGTCCACGTGATGATGAGAATACTGACTACTCCATTAAGACGTGACAAGTGAAACAGAAGGATGGAACAGGGTTTCAGGGTGTGTGCGTGAGTGCCTGTGCATGTGTGTGTGTCTCTGTGCTATTTTACATGAGATGGTCAGTACCAGCCTCTGGGATGGCGTGACATTTGAGCAGTGAAGAAAGAAAGGGAGGTAGCCCATGGATACCTGGAGGCAGGATACTCCAAGCTGAGGGTGTGGCATGTGTGAAGGTCCTGAGGTGGTGCAGGCTTGGCTCTCTTCCTGGTTAGCAAGCAGGAGAGTGGGTGAGGTGACGAGGCCCAGCCACTGGGGTGAGGACCGTGGAGCAGAGCAGGGACAGGATCGAACTCAAGTTTGAACAGGACTGTCCGTGTGGCCCCTGTGTCCTGCTTTTGTGGATGTCAGTCCGCAGCAGACACTGGGGACAGGTGTCTCTGGATAATTGCCATCAGTTCCCACAGCCCAGGGGCCAAGGGCAGATTTTGAGGGCAGGAGTCAGAAAGAGGCAAAAATCAATAGGGACATTGTCCTGATCTCTGCTGGCTGGCATGCCTGCCTCACCCCCACAAGGGAGGAGGGACCCAGCGCGTGGGCTGCAGGCAACTGGAGGCCCATAGCCCGGGGCACCAGAGCCAAGCTGTCCTCATGCCTGAGACTCCGCTGTTATAGTGAGAGCACCTTCCTGCCAGAGATGAGCGTGATGGGCCTAGGGTGCCAGAGCTGAGTCTTGAGCGGGAAGGGTGTGGGGACCTGGAGGAGGAAGCCCTGGCCACCAGCTCCTCTGGGAGCTGAGCCTGCTTCAGGCATGCCTTCTACCGTGTCTGTGCTCACAAGCTACACTCCTGCCCAGCGAGATCTCCTGTGACCTGCGTGAGGTTTGGGCCTGTTTAAGGGGCTTCTCTGGTGACTCAGATGGAAAAGAATCTGCCTGCAATGCAGGAGAACCGAGTTCAATCCCCAGGTTGGGAAGACCCCCTAGAGGAGGGCATGGCAACCCACTCTAGTACTCTTGCCTAGAGAATCCCATGAACAGAGGAACCTGGTGGGCTACAGTCCATGGGGTCACAAATAGATGGACACGACTGAGCAACTAACACTTTCACTGTTTTCAAGGGATGATCTGGACCCCATTGAATGCCGTGGAAGAGTAGGCTGTTTTCAGCAGGGGCTGTGTGCCCTCAGGCAAGAACATGCCGTCTCTCAGTCACCTCTGAGGGTGACTGGGTGTGACCACCTGTACCTGGAAGGGCTGTTGGAGGTTAAGTGGGAGCATCCGTGCAGGGCAGACAGGGCAGATGCTGCCTGCTGGGAGGGTGGGAACAGGGCTGACTGAGACCAGAGGGAGGGACGGATTGGATTTCCTGGGCTGCTGCTCCCTTTATGGGGCCCTGGCTCCTAAAGCCTTGAGGGTTGGAGGCGGGAGGTGAAAACTGAGCTGTAGGGAGAAGAGGGACCAGATAGACCGTCGGGTCAGGTGTCACAGAGGCGGACAGGCCAGGCCCGCAGGTGTGCGGGCAGAGGCTCCGTGGGGGTACTAGCCCCCAGGGAGCCCAATAAGCCAGGTTAGGGGATGGGAGTCCCCTCTGTCATGGACCAGGTCCAGTGAGGACACTCCACACAGGGAGGCAGAGCCAGGCCCCTTGGATGTCAGAGAGCCAAGGAGAGCATGCTCTGGCACCCTGGTTTCATAAATGGGACAACAGTTGATTCCAGAAACAGCTGATGAGGGAGCCCAGCTATAGTCCTGGAGCATGGCGATAAACCGAAGGTTGAGGACACTGAGAAAGTGGCTAGGCATCACCAGGAGGCCATGTCCTAAGGACAAGTCCTTGTCACCAGCTTTTGCTGTCCCCATGGAATGGGGGTGCCTTGATCCATGACCTCAGATGCCACGAAACCCCATAATCTTCGAGTCTAGGCCTGCTCTGGAGCCAGGGTGGACACCCGGCTGGGGGTCTGCAAATCAGGTGGGTCCCAAGGAGGCTGAAAAGCCACCCCCAGGTCTGCCAGGGCTGGCATCTCTCCTACGAACTGGGTGGAGCCAGCAGGCCCAGCAGAATGGCAAAGATGGCCCGAGGGCGGTAAAGGATGACCTCAGGGTTCCCTGGAGGGCTCTGCTTATGGACTCAGGAGGGTTGAAGAAAAGCTCGGTGTTCAGCACGAGCCAGTGTGGGACTGCTGCAGCCCCTGGGGACAAGTGGTGACCACAGCAGCTGCCCAGCAGCCAACATGCATCCTGGGCCTGTCCTGGTGTGAAGTATTGGAATAGCACCTTTACTGTTGCCAAAGAGTCACAGCCTTGGAGGGTTATTGGTGGTGAGGGCAGGGGGGCGCCAGGGTGAGTCTGGACACTGTGGCTTTGTGGCAAGCACAGGGATCTTTTGTCCAGAGAAGAAACCCGGGGACAGCTGTCTTGGGGCAGCGGCAGCCACATGGGTGGGCCCTACTGGCTGAGAGGGTGGGAGGTTGACTACAAGGAAGGATATTTCTTGGGGTCCTGTCATGGCTACTGCTGGAAATGGGAGGGACTGAGCCCCAGGCCTCCAGGGTTTGGACAGAGGCCGTGATGCCCACAGTACCTGGTGAAGCCAGAGTCCCCCCAACACACATGGCCTTAGGGGTGCGACCCTCCTTGCTGGACCTCATCCCTCATGTGTCTCCACCTCGAGGCCTCCCCTCCAGCCACGCCAGCCTCCTTGCTGCTCCTCCAGCACAAACTCACCAAGCACCTCCAGCCTCAGGGCCTTTGCATGTGCTGGGCCCTCTGCCGTTTTCCCCCTTGTCCCTGGGACACTTCCCCCTCCCCCTTCACACATCACCATCTCCAGGAAACCTCCCTTGACTCCCACATATGAAACAGCACCCTGACCCTGGCCCACTCTCACCCCCTTCACACTGGGAGTGTCTCTCCATGGTATTTATCACCACCCAACATGCTTTGTATTTATTTACTGTCTAATTGTGTCTCTCCCCGGGAGGCCAGCTCCCTGGACACAGGGACTTGGTGTTTGTTGTGTCCCCAGAGCCTAGAACAGAACCTGGCACATAGTAAGTGTTCAATAAATAGCGGTGGAGTGGGGGAATTCCCTGGAGGTCCAGTGGTTAGGACTCAGCGCTTTCACTGACGAGGTGCAGGTTCAATTCCCTGTCGGGGGACTAAAATCCCAAAAGCTGTTCATGTGCATGCGTGCTAAGTCGTGGTCCGACTCTGCAGCCCCATGAACTGTAGCCCACCAGACTCCTCTGTCTATGGAATGCTTCAGGCAAGAATACACTAGAGTGGGTTGCCATACCCTCCTCCAGGGGGTCTTCCTGACCCAGGGATCAAACCTGTGTCTCTTATGTCTCCTGCATTGGCAGGTGGGTTCTTTTCCACTAGCGCCACCTGGGAAGCCCCAAATGGCAGTGGAGAGGAGGTAGGCATGAACAACTAGCTGAATGCAGAGGAGTGGGTTCTGATACAGGAAAGGAGGTTCGTGATGGCTTTTAGTTCCCCTTTGTGGAGGATGCAGCTGTCCCTACCTTCGCTGCCCACCCCCCACCCCTGCCCCTCTCAGCAGAAGCTGCTTGTTCTCTCGCAGGAAGCGGCTCAGGCCGTTCAGCTGGGCGGCCCGGAACTCTGCTGGCCGTGTGCGCCCCGAGCTGAAGGCCTCCCGCAGCCGCTGCAGGGTGTCTGCAAAGGGGTCCATCCTGCTGGGCGGGGGCAGCGTGGGTCGGGGTGCTGCCACCTCCATGGCCCCCTCCACGGCCCCTGCTCGCACCCACATGGGCCCACGGACACCCCCTCAGGGACTCACACATAATCCCAGGGACCCGGGCTGCCCCACCTACACACACACACACCACACACATGCACACGCAGGACACACTTAGACAGCCACTGACAGAACTACAGATCACGCCCCTCGGCCAGTGGGCAGTCACGGGCCTGGACCTGGGCTCGGGGACAGCTACTCCACAGCCCCTAAGGGCGAGCAGGCGGTCGGGGGACCACGCGTCTTCCTGCCGCGCAGAGAAGAGCCTTAAGCCACGGCGCCCCCGCTCCGCACCCCTCCCGGAGATGGCAGCCCTGAGCCCAGCAGGCCTGAGTGGAGCAAACGGGGGGAGTGTGGCCACCAACGGCCCCTGCAGACACCTCGCTGGGACATTCCCGATGCAGAATGCCCTGCCACCCCTGGTCCCTAGGCGGGGGGCCCTGCCCAGAGAGGAACAGGCTGGTGGGCGGTGGCTCAGAGGCCGGGTGACAGGACCCCCGCCCCCGCTGTGGCCCAGCTCCACAGCAAAATGGGGAAGGAAGAGCTCGCCTCCCACAGGTGCCGCAGCTCACCCCCACCCCGCGGCCACGGTGCAGGAGGAACAGAGAGTCGGGGGTGGCGAGCAGTGAGGGGCAGCCCGGCCCGCGTGCTGGCATCAGCCTGGGCCGGCAAACTGGGTGAGGGCCCTGGCATTCCCCGGGGCCCCCGCCTGTTTACCTGAAGCTCATGAGAGGAGTGCTCTGACGCACTTGGTCCTCGGCCTGGTGCCAAGGACCCATGGGGGCCCTTTCCTTCTTCCCTTCTGACTCCCCTCGGGTCTCTGCTTGGCTGATGCCTCCTTCAGGCAGCCCACCATGATTACTCCCTCATACATTCTCACAGGGGTCCCGCGACCGTGCTCCCTACCACACTGTGTGTGTGTGAGTTGCTCAGTCGTGTCCGACTCTGTGATTCCCATGGACTGTAGCCCGCCAGACTCCTCAGTCCATGGACTGCTGCAGGCAAGAACACTGGAGTGGGTTGCCATTTCCTTCAGGGGATCTTCCTGACCCCGGGATCAAACCCGGGTCTCCTGCATTGCGGGCAGATTCTTCACCCTCTGAGCCCAGGGAAGCCCACCCTCTGTCGTACTTTGTGGTAAATACCTGGTTTCTTTCTATCCTCTTCTCTGTCCCCACCCCCATCCCTCTCCTCTCCCACTAGACTGGGAGGTAGGACCCCACTTTGCCTTCTCGGCCTGTCATTTGGGTCTTTGTGCTCCCCATCTGTTAGAGTCTCCCTTCCACCTACCAGCTGACAGGGTTTTTTTTTTATCAAGGGTGAGACCCTGCCAGCCATTTCGGGGCCCAGGGCACGGCATCAGTGCCCCCAGGGCAGTCAGCTACGGTTAAGTGGCCACTGCTGCCACAGCCCTAAGTTTTCTGCAGGGCTCCATGACCGCCTGGGCCAAGCTGCTCCAGCTGACAGGATGGCCTGGCACGATGGACTCTGTGCCGGAGCCTGACAGGAGCCCTGCGCTGTCCCCATACGCGTGATGGAAGCCAGACTGAGCCCACAGGCCTCCTGCTGCGATCAGGAGAAAGCGGGCAGTTGTCTGGGCACAGGGCGGGCTCCATGGCCCCCAGATAGAGTGACAGTGCCCCAGAGCAGGCACATTGTCAGGGCCGCTCTCAGCCCCAGGCTCACCCTCCGCTCCCACCCTCCTCCTGGGAAGAAGGCATAGCAGCCAGAGGCCCAGGAGCCCAGAGCCTTGATGACCCCCAGGGCCGCCTCGTGAGCTCAAACCCTGACCCGGCCTCTTCTGGCTGTGTGACCTTGAGCAAGTCACTCGTCTTCTCTCTGCCTCAGTTTCCGTGTCTGTAAAATAGGGATGCCGATAGCACTTGCTCTAGAGAAGGAAACGGCAACCCACTCCAGTATTCTCGCCTGGGAAATGCCACGGACAGAGGAGCCTGGCGGGCTACAGTCCGTGGAGTCACAAAGAGTTGGACACGACTGAGCGACTAAACCACCATTACCAGTAACACTTGCTACTGCCCGGAGGATTAAATGATGTATCACCTTGGGAAGCAGTGGCCGTTGCCCGCATAGTTAATGGTCAGCTGTGGTTATTGTTACCAAGTGCTCGGCAAATATTTATTTATCCCTCTTCCCTTGCCCCCACCCCCTCTCACCTTCAGATTCTTGCTGACGATGCTGAGGGCAAACCACACCTGCCCCCTCCCTCCTCTGCAGGGTTCCTTTCCTAAGCGTCTCCGCAGAACCCACAAAAATGTGAGGCATCTCACTTGAAGGGAGCATCTCCCGGTGCAGTGAGGGGCGGGGAGCTCTGTGGGGGTGGAGGTCTGGTTGGAACATTCCAGCAGCCTCTCCCGGCAACACTGAGGCCAACTCACACAATAGTGCCCCCTGCAATTTGGTCAGGACCGAGTCCCCCCCACCCCCCAGGGGTGCCTGCTGGGGAGCGGGGAGCTTGACTCCAAAGTTACCTGTGGGGCCTGGGGCCTGAGGGAACCCTGGGCCTGTGACCTCACAAGGGAGCCAAGCAGCTGCTGTGGACACACCAGTGCATGGGTTCCTGCACCGGGGGGTCTGGGGGCCCTGAGCCCACCTCCCTGGGAGCTGTTAAGTCATTTGATGTGACAAGGGACGGCTGGTTTCCCGGGGGCCCTGGAACCTTCCCTCGAGGCCAGGGGCCCGGGGATGCGCTAGTAAGAATAATAACGACCAGGTGCTGATGCTGCAGGTACTGTGTCAGCGGCGGGGGCACCAGACGTGGGTACAGCATGGAGTTCGGATGGCATCCCTGAAGGAAGCTGAGACCCCGGGCCCATGGCATCGAGGACACTGGCAGGCGGGGTGGACACTCAGGTCTGCCGCCTCCAAAGCAGTATCGGGAAACCGCTGCTGCCCGGGCCCTGCCCCTGCACCCTGCCTGGTCCTGCCGATGAGCTACCTCCCAGCCGTCACCCCTGTCCACCCTCTCGTGCTTTCTGCCTTGGTTTCCCCATCTATACCACAGTCCCTCTAAAAGCATGCTCCCAGTATGCCGTGTCAGGGGCCCAAGGACCTGGGTCCAAATCCCAGGTTATCAGCTCGGGTCTTGGGCAGGTGGCTTGGCCTCCCCGTGGCTCGCTTTTCCCATCTGTGAAATGAGCATGATGCCTATGTTTACCCTGTGGTGCTGGGAAGCGCTTGGGGCCGGGCCGAGCCCCATGAGTGCTGACGATTGTTATTCAGACAAGACCGCAAAGGACGTCTGTGCCGAGGGGGCCAAGAGGAGAAGACCCTGGGGTAGGAACCCAAGGAGACCTTGGCCCAGTGTGGACACCCGGGAGGCAAGGACATCAACTTGGGACCCAGTGGGGGCAGGGAAGCGGAGCCAGCAAGAGCAACAGAGGTGACCTTGGTGGTTGAGGGCCTGGGGAGCCCCTCGACCGTCAGGTGGAGGTCCCCGGCCTGCCTCGAAAGCCCCACAGGCCCCAGTACCCTAGAGTCTCTAGTCTGGCCTCACCCCGGGACCTGTGTAGCCTTAACCTGGATTTTCCCAAGGTCTCCCACACTCTGGGCAGCAGCAGCCTCCCTTCCGTGGGGGCCGTGGGGAGCTGGGGACCAACCCTTGGCTGTGGGCTGAGCCAACCCCAGCCCCGCTGCATGGAGAGGCTGTGCCGGCAGCTAGACTCCCTGATGCTGGTCAGGTCCGTCTGATAACAGCTTCTCTTTGAGGCAGGGAGGGCGGGGCCTGGCTGACCTTTCTTCCTGGATGTTGGCAGGGTCCATTCCCAAGAATGTGATAGCTCAGAACCACTCACAGTGAACCCTACCCTAGCAGTGGGTACATGTGGCCGATGCCCAGGAAATGTGCTGTCAGATGGATGCTTGACGCCACTCCCCTCCACCCCAGGGACAGGGGTGTATTCCTTCCTGAGGCAGCCAGTCCAGAGCTGGGTCCCCTGGCTCCCTCAGTAACCCCAGCCCAGCTCAGACTCAGTACGGGTGCTGGCTGTCTCAGGGACCCTCTGCTCCTCTCTTTGATCTCTGAGGTTGGGGCGAAGGGAAGTCCATTCCTCTTCCTCCTTTCTCCCCAGGCGGGCAGAGCAGCTCTGAGAAGACAAAGCTAGCTTCTGCATGCGACCGTAAGGGGTCAGGCCTGCCATGACCCAGAGCAGCCAGAGTCCCGACAGCAGCCCAGAGTCCCCATGCCAGCCCGCCGGCAGGCCCCTGGCCCTGACCACTGGCCACTGCCTCCCCAGCTGCCACGGAGCACCATACCTGAGGACCTGCCCAGATGCCCGTCTTCCTGGTCGACCGCGTTCTGCCTAGCTGCCCGCCCTGCTGTTATGAAATGTCCAGGGCTGGGCCGGCCCCTGGGGCGGGGCCGCCCTGGCCTCGTGCCTGACTTTGACTCTGGACTGGCCAGAGGCTGCAGGCTGAGATTTCATTACCACTTCCTTCAGTTGGTTGGGGGCGTGGGGGTACTTCTAGGTCCTTCCCTGGACCACAGAGAGAGGGCCAGGGCCCAGAGAGGGCTAGCACCAGGCCAGCGCCATACAGCAGGCCTCAAGGGAGCTCTGAGCTGAGGCTCCATCCTGAGGCCTTAGGTGGGAAGGGTCCCAGGCCTGGCTGGAGGAGGAGTAGGAGAGTCCAGGGAGTAGAATTCTGGTGTGGATGGGGGCGGCGGCCTGGAGCGGCAGGGAAAGCCTGCTCCACACAACCCCCCCACCCCTGCCCCTCTGAGCCTCAGTTTCCCATCTGCAAAGTGAAGAGATCAGATCCAAAGACAGCTGGAGTCTGGAAACACAAACTCAGGGCCCAGGTGGGCCGCAGGCTTCGTCCTGACGGCCGCATATCTGTGTCCATCAGCATTATCTGCCTCCCCCAGCACCCCACTCGCGGCGCCTGTCACCCCTGCAACATGACGATTTACAAGGAGGAGACGGAGGCCCAGGGAGGGGAGGATCTGATGCCACAGGGCACAGTGGCGGGCTGGGACCCACATGAGAAGTCAGTCGTTCTGCGCCGGGCTGGGTCGGTCTCCAGCAGCCCCCTCCTACCTCCCGGGAAAGAGCGCCGCCCTCTGCCCTCCAGGCGAGCCGCCGTGGTGACAAGTGCAGCCGTGGAGGTTCCCATGTGCCCGCTCCTCCGCGTCACCCCAGCCCCCACGCCTGCACACCTGTCAGAGCCAGCACAAAGGGGGAAGATCCCCCTGCGGGTGCTGGTGTCAGACAGGTGGGTGATTAGGTTACAGGCCTGGGGACAGGCGTATCGTCCTTGCCATCACCCCAGGCCTGTTGCCCTGGGCCCACGGCTGCCCCTCCACCTTGGTGCCCTGGGTCTTGCCCGGGATTGTGGCCCAGGGCCTCTGGGCCGACCGGGCCCCCGGGAGATGCTCCTCACGGCCCCCGCCCTCCCCGCGGCCCCTGCCTACCTGGGAGGGCAGGAGAGGCCTCTGGGCCCTCCTGTAGGATCTGGTAGCCCCCAGAGGCTTCAGCCACTGGGACGGGGTAAGGGGCTGCTGGGGCCCCCGTCCTCTGCGTGGGATGGAGCCCCCAGCCGCTGCCTGTCACGTGGCTCGGCATGTGACAGCCCTGCCCTGCTGTCTGGAGCTGAGCCAGGCAGAGGCAGAGCCAGCGGCAGGCGGGGCAGGGCTGGAGCTGAGCCTGGCAGCGGTCAGCCTGGAACCAGGCCCAGAGAGGGGCAGTCACTGATCTAAGGCCACACAGCAAATCAGGGACCGACCTGGGGAGACATTGGTGGCTGGCAGGGGTATTGCAGGATCCTGAGGGGCCCCTCCCTGACTGGGGATCCCTCCTGCAGGGGTTACCCCTGAACTTGTCACGAATTCAGCCTGGGAAGTCCCCAGAGAGGACTGTCCTCCTGGCACAAGGGTCCTAACCTGGCCTGGGAGGGAAGCTCCCCAAGCCTTAAGGGGCACCTCCCCATGGGGAGGGACAGGGGGCAACCCCCTCCCCTCTCTGGGTTGGATGCCTTGTGTTGATCCTTAAAGCTCCAGGGGCTCATATGGGACCTGGGGTGACACGCTTGTCCCAGAGAGCTCGGGATAGATGAGGGGATGTTGCCAAGGTACCACTAGGAGCCACTCTCGGAGACAGTCTGGTGGTGGGAGGGTCTTCTGAGGACCCAGGTCAGCCGGCGGGGTGGTGTTGGGGGTGCACAGAGATTGGCGGCTGGCGGAGGGGGGCACATCTGACCAGCCGGGCCCTGCCCTTCTGCAGCTCCTCTGGGTTTCAGATTGGAGATCTGGATGAAAGACCCTTGTGATCGTCACCTTTGGGCTCCCTCTCTGGGCAGAGAGCAGGTCATGGGCTAAGGCATCACGTTCATTCGTTCATTCATTCATTCTGTCCCTCACCTGATGAGCCTGACTCACAGAGCCTCAGATCCGAGCATCTGACCCCATGGCTAGCCCAGGCTCTCCAGGCCCCCTGCTTGGCGACCTTGAGCAAGTCCCGACCGCTCTCCGGGCCTGTTTCCTCCCCCTAAAACGGGGTCGGGGCTCTCTGCCTCACAGGACTGCTGTGAGGGTGAAATCCGTCTGGAAAGCCCCCAGTATACAGTAGGTGCTCAGTAGGTGTGAAGGATTTTCTGCCCCTTTGCCCACCCTCCTATGGGAGTGGCCACCCCAGGCCTTGTCCCCAGGACCCTGCCCGCACCCTCCTTCCTGCTCCCAGCTTTGAAGGCAGGACCTGTCTCTGCCCTGGCAGCCACCCCCATGGAGGCCAGTGTGACCCTGGGGTGCAGTCAGGCCGCTGGGGCACAGTGCCCAGCATATAGTCGGCACTCATTCGTGTGCTCACTTAGCAAAGCTTCACTCACACGGGACACAGACTCTCGTATAATTCTCAGACGTGTGGTCTGAACTTCACAGACGAGGCAACAGACTCAGAGACGGGCAGTGGACGGGCCAGGGCCGCACAGAGGGACAAGTGGGGATTCTAACCCGACCAGGTCTGAGTGCCCAGCCCTTGGCGTCTCCAGGGGGCCCTGCTGTCTTGCCTAGGAGCCGGGTGGGGGTCACCCCCACTCCCAGGAGCCTTTGGGTCTCAGTTGAAAGCAGCATCTATCCTGGATACTTGCTGTGTCAGGCACTAGGCAGGGTCTGTGGCACATCCCAGCTCGGGACCTCCCAATAGCTTGTGACAATCGTCATCCCCGTGGTTCTCAGTGTTTTTTTATGATTTTTTAAAATAGCTATTTTAATCAATTTTGTTGGCTGCACAGGGTCTTAGTTGCAGTGTGCGAAGATCTTCAATCTTTGTCGAGGCATGTAAGAGCTAGTTCCCTGACCAGGGATCCAACCCGGCCCCCCTCCACTGGAAGTGTGGAGTCTTAACCACTGAGCCCCTAGGGAAGTCCTCCCATGTTTTTTAGTTTCAAAAAATGGCAAAAATCTGCCTCAAGGCCACAGAAGCAGTGTTAGGGGAATTAGCAGTGGACCCTGAGTGCTCTTTTGGATTCAGTGTAGGGGTGACACTTCACAAGGCCTCTGGAGCTGTTTCAAGGTGTTTGAATCAGGAATAATGTGTATGTCTCCTGTTTGCTTTTCTGTGAGGAGCATCTATTATTTTCAAATGAGGACAAAAACAGAACCTAGTACAGAAAAAACTGGACCTTCCCAAATGGCTCAACGGTAAAGAATCCACCTGCAATGCAGGAGCCAAAGGAGACTAGGGTTCCGTCCCTGGGTCGGGAAGATCCCCTGGAGGAGGGCATGCCAACCCACTCCAGTATTCTTGCCTGGAGAATTCCATGGACAGAGGAGACTGGTGGGCTACAATCCATGGGGTCACAAAGAAATGGACATGACCAAGCGACTTAGCATGCATGCACTCACAACTTGGGACATTTGAATTTGTACTCTTTATGTCAGTGTTTTTAAGAAAAAATAATTGATTTTTTGTTATTTAGGTGTAAATATATTTTCTTTTTGCTTTTAATAGGATTAAGTTGTGGTTCAGTCACTAAGTCATGTCTGACTCTTTGTGACCCCATGGGCTGCAGCCCACCAGGCTCTTCTGTCCATGGGTTTTCCCAGGTAAGAATCCTGGAGTGGGCTGCCATTTCCTTCTCCAGGGGATCTTCTTGGACCAGGGATTGAACCAACGTCTCTTACTTGGCAGGCAGATACTTTACCACTGAGCCACCAGGGAAGCCTGATAGGATTAAGATAGTGTCATTAACCAGTGGGTGCCATAAAGTCAGATTTGGAAATGAGCTACCATGACCCCCCTCCCCAAAATGTTCTAAAATGAATCGATTTTAAGAAAGTAATTCAAAAGTAAAAGCTAGCAAAATCACAGAAGAAGTCCACGTGTAACAAGGACTCTAAGACCTAATTAAATATTCCTGGGACCCTAAACGGTACAGTAACCTGCTTCTTAGGTGTGGACCAAGATCCCACATAAAACAAGCAATATTGTAGAAAGCCAGCATCTGAGAAGTGATGCCAGGGACTTTCCTGGCAGACCAGTGGTTAAGACTGTGCTGCCAACACAGGTGGTGTGGGTGTGATCCCTGGTTGGGGAACTGAGACCCCACACGCTGTGCCGCAAGGCCGAAAAAATAAATAAATAAATAAAAGAAGAAGTAGCTTCCAGTGGTGCTCAGCACAGAGGAGGCGGAGGGACCCACTTGTACAGGCAAACCACCCACTTCCTAGGGCAACGTCCCTGATCTCCTACCTTCTCTTTGCTTTCTGGCTGGTTCATAAAATACACTCCATCTGATTACATCTTGGGGGTCCCTCCTAGTGAGAGATTCACAGCCCAAGGGTGTCTGCCCATGAGCTCGCAAGCCTACCCAGGTGACCTTTGACCTTTATTGAAGGACACACTTCCACTCTAGGTAAATACCCGGCCACCTAGTATTTAAGACCGTACTGACTCACTGTATTCACCCTGATTTGTTTTCTGTGAAACCTTGAAGGAACATCTCCCTGACTTGTTTGACATTCTGTGTTCTGACAAGACATAAAATTGTGCTGAAACCCTGTTTCTCTGGAGCAGTTCCTCAGAATAGCCTGAGAGGCTCTCTTTGGGGCTATCGTTTTCAGTTTGGCTCAAATAAAACCCTTTTTTATTCCTATTATGGGTTGTTTATTGATTATTTTCATCCACAGCTGTCACACTCCGTGCTCACCCCCAAAGTTCTGCTCCAGTCTCTAAAACTCCTCTCTTTCCCTGGCCGCCAGCTCACTCCCCTCCACCCAGTTTTCAGTCGGCGGAAGCCTTTTTCACGTATGCCTGTTTTCCAAGGGAGGGAATATTGGGGTGAGAGGAAATGAGACAAAGGGACTTCCCACACGAACACCCAGAGAAGACCGGGCACCCTGGGGACCCCCCTGCACGGTGACAGGGCCTGTCCCCCACCCTTCCGCCCTGGCTTGTCTGGGATTTTCAGTTCTCCATCCAAGGGGCTGGAGGAGTCTGGTACACTCGGCTGAGTGATTTCTTTCCTTAACTGCTTCAAGTGCAGAAGGTGGCAGACAGGAAGGTCATTAACAGACTATAGATGCTAGTCTCCACCCAGTCCAAGGGCCCCCTTTCTGATATGGCTTTAGGAGGGTGCACTCCTAGAAGCTGACAAAGGTCCATGTAGTCAAAACCATCGTTTTTCCAGCAGTCATGTATGGATGTGAGAGCTGGACCATAAAGAAGGCTGTGCACTGGAGAATTCCAGTGCTGGAGAAGACGCTTGAGAGTCGCTTGGACAGCAAGGAGATCAAATCAGTCAATCCAAAGGACATCAAACCTGAATATTCATTAGAAGGACTGACGCTGAAGCTGAGGCTCCAGTACTTTGGCCACCTGATGCAAAGAGCTGACTCATTGGAAAAGACCCTGATGCTGGGCAAGATTGAAGGCAGGAGGAAAAGGGGGCGACAGAGGATGAGATGTTAGATGGCATCACTGACTCAATGGACATGAATCTGAGCAAACTCTGGGAGGTAGTGAAGGACAGGGAAGCCTGGTGCACTGCAGTCCATGGGGTCACAAAGAGTTAGACACGACTTAGCGACTGAATAACAACAAAATTTCTTCTAGTGGCGGAACAACTGAGATCTATTCTCTCGGTAGGCTTAATATTTATAATACAGTTTTGTTGTGTGTAGTCCTTGTACCGTGTATTAGGTCCCCAGGCTTTATTTATCTACTAGCTGTAAGTGTGTTCCTTCAACATTTCTCCCATACCCCATCACCTGCCTTTGCTAACCACCATCCCACCCTGTTTTCTCAGATTCTTTTTTTTTTTTTTTAAGATTTTACGTAGAAGAGACATCATACTTCTTTGAATTATCTCACTTAGCATAACCTGAGGATCCATCCAAGTTGTCACAAATGGCAAGATTCTCTTTTTTTCTCTTGACGGAATAGTATTCCATTGTATGTGTCTATTGCATCTTTATCCACACTCATCCACTGGTGGACACAGGTTGTTTTCATATCTTGACTGTTCTGAATAAAACTGCAGTCACATGGGAACACAGGTATCTCCCTGATGTTCTGTTTTCATTTTCTTTGGATAAGTAGCCAGAAGTGGGATTGTTGGATCATACGGTGGTTCTGTTTTTAATTTTTTGTGGAATCTCCAGACTGTTCTCCACAATGGCTGGGCCCGTTTACATTCCCACCAACAGGGTACAGATGTTCTCTCTTCTCCACATCCTCTCCAGCACCGGTCATCTCTGGATGATAGCCGTTCTTACACGTGTGAGGTGATATCTTAGCTTGTGGTTTTGATTTGCATTTCCCTGATGATTGGTGATGCTCTGCAGTTGATGAAAAAACGTACAACATCAAAGTTGAAGCATGTTTTATTCAACAGACCTGCTGAGGACTTAAGTCTGGGAGGCAGCCTCTCAAATAAGCTCTGAGGAAATGCTCTGAAGAGGTCAGGTAGGAGCTAGGATATATAGGAGGTTATGCAACAAAAACCACGTAGTGGGAACATCAAAATATTACTGTTACAATAATGAAAGAAAATCAGACATGCCAAAGTTAATGAATTTAGTGCTTTTCTAGGTATGGGAAGCAAGAATCTAGGCTTAGTGAAATCATTCCTTTGATTCGCACCTGAACTGTCTAGGGCCAGCATCCTTTTCTCCATCCTGAGTCTCCTCTGGGAGCAGAGTCCGGGGCCACCACAGTGATTGAGGGCAGCAACATCCTTTATTTACTGATGTGGCAGGTGATACTCGTCTATGGAGCACTTTTGTGTGCTGTTGGCCATTTGTATGTCTTCTTCAGAAAAAAAAAAAAAAGGCCATTTAGCTTCTGTTCTCTTTTTCATTTTTGGGGGGGCCTCGAGGCATATGGGATCTTAGTTCCCCGAACAGGGATTGGACCTGCACCCTCTGCATTCGAAGCACGGAGTCTTAACCACTGGACTGCCAGGGAAGTCTCCCCTACCCAGTTTTAAAGTGGTTTTTGTTGTTGCTGTTATTGAGTTGTATGAGTTCTTTATGAATTATGGATATGAACCCCTTATCAGATGCAAGCCTTGACATAATTCCCCCACATGCCACAGGCTGCCTTTTTATCATTAATTTATTTTTATGGCTGCGCTGGGCCCTTGGGCTGTGCCTGGGCTTTCTCTAGTTGCAGTGGGTGGGAGTTACTCTCACAGGCCTCACCTTGTGGTGAAAGTGAAAGTCGCTCAGTCGTGTCTGACTCTTTGCGACCCCATGGACTACACAGTCCGTGGAATTTTCCAGGCCAGAATACTGGAATGGGTAGCCTTTCCCTTCTCCAGGGGATCTTCCCGACCAGGGATCGAACGCGGGTCTCCCGCATGACGGGCGGACTCTTTACCAGCTGAGCTACCAGGGAAGGCCTCTCCTGTCGTGGCTTTTCTTATCTCGGAGCACGGGCTCCAGAGCGCGCAGGCACAGATTTCAGCAGTGCTGGCGCTCAGGCTTAGCTGCCCCTCAGCACGTGGAGTCTTCCTGGACCAGGGATCAAGACTGTGTCCCCTGCGTTGGCAGGAGGATTTTTTTTTTTTTTTGCAGGAGGATTCTTAACCACTGGATCACCAAGGTAGTCCTAAGGGTGCCTTTTTATTTTAATTGTTTCTTTTGCAGTGTTCAGTTCAGTCATTCAGTCATGTCCGACTCTTTGCAACCCCATGGACTGCAGCACACCAGCCTTCCCTGTCCATCACCAACTCCCGGAGCTTACTCAAACTCCTGTTCATCGAGTTGGTGATGCCATCCAACCATCTCATCCTCTGTTGTCCCCTTCTCCTCCTGCCTTCAATCTTTCCTAGCATCAGGGTCTTTTCTAATGAGTCAGTTCTTTGCATCAGGTATAGAAACTTTTAAGTTGATATAGTCCTACCTATTGATTTTTTTTTCTTTTGTTATTTGTGCTTTTGATGTCATAACTGAGATGTTATTGCAAGACCCATATTGAGAAGCTACTGTTTTTTTTTTTTTTTCCAAGCTTTAAACATTTTGTTTTGTATTGGGGATATAGCCGATTAACAATGTTGTGGTAGTTTCTGGTGAACAACTAAGCAACTCAGCCATACTTACACAGTATCTTTTCTCCCCCAACCTCACTCCCATCCAGGCTGGCATGTAACATTAAATAGAGTTCCATGTACTATGCAGTAGGTCCTTGTTGGTTATCTATTTTGAATATAGAAGTGTGTACATGATTCTCAGGAGCTACTACATTTTCTTCTAGGAGTTTTATTAGATATTAGGTTATTAGGTATTATGTGTCTTTGCCTACAAGCACCCATATAGTCAGAGCTATGGTTTTTCCAGTAGTCGTGCATGGATGTGAGAGCTGGACAATAAACAAGGCTGAGAGCCAAAGAATTGATGTCTTTGAACTGTGGTGCTGGAGAAGACTCTTGAGAGTCCCTTGGACAGCAAGGAAATCAAACCAGTCCATCCTAAAGGAAATTAACCCTGAATATTCATTGGAAGGACTGAGCTGAAGCTGAAACTCCAATACTTCGGCCACCTGATGTGAAGAATCAGCTCATTGGAAAAGACCCTGATCCTGGGCAAGATTAAAAGCAAGAGGAGAAGAGGGTGGCAAAGGATGAGATGGTTGGATGGCATCATCGACTCAATGGTTCAAGAGTTTGAACAAACTCTGGGAGATGGTGATGGACAGGGAAGCAAAGAGTCAGATGTGACTGAGTGACTGAACAACAAAGTGTCTTTGATCCATTTCAAGTTAATTTCTGTGAGTACCTTCAGAGAGAGGTCCAATTTCATTTTGAGCATGTAGTTATCCAGTTTTCCCAGCACCATCTGTTGAAGAGACTATCCTGGAATCAATATTTTAAAAAGTTTCCCAGGTGTTTCTAACCAGACAGATACCCAGAGCTGTGGAGTGTCACCTCCAGCAGAGCAGAAATTTCCTGGGCTCTCACTGAAGCCCCGGACCCAGTGTCCAGTCAGAAGGGAGCAGGAGGCTCTGAACCCTGCCGCAGTGTGGTGCTGGGGGTGGTCGCCCCACTGCAGTCCAGCAGTCCCCGCAACCTCTGTCCCCCAACGGCCCTGCGAAAGGAAGCTCGGGGTGAGTGGCAGGTGGGTGTGGGCTGCCGCGTCCTGTGTTGGGAGCCTCTCCTGGGCGCTGTGGGGACTCTGAAGTGAAGTGTCAGTCACTCAGTCGTGTCCAACTCTTTGAGACCCCATGGACAGTAGCCCACCAGGCTCCTCTGTCCATGGGATTCTCCAGGCAAGAGTACTAGATTGGGTTGCCATTTCCTTGCCATTGTCAAAATTCCAGGGGATCTTCCTGACCCAAGGATTGAATCTTGGTCTCCTGCATTGCAGGAAGCTTCTTTCCCAACTGAGCCACCAGGGAATCCTTGGGGGGCTCTTTGCTGACCTGCAAACACACCAGATGTGGCCTGGAGATGGGATAGGGGCGGCAGCGGTAAGACTGAGGGGAGCTTACTATGGGCCTGGCACTTTCCTAAGGCTTTGCATTAACCCAGTAATCCCGAAGTAGCCTTTTGAACACTTTGAGCTGAGTATCCCTGGTTTGTTGTTCAGTCGCTCAGTCGTGTCCGACTCTTTGCAACCACATGGATTGCAGCATGCCAGGCTTCCTCATCTTTTACCAACTCCCGGAACTTGCTCAAACTCATGTCCATTGAGTCAGTGATGCCATCCAACCATCTCATCCTCTGTTGTCCCCTTCTCCTCCTGCCTTCAATCTTTCCCAGCATCAGGGTCTTTTCTAATGAGTCAGTTCTTCGCATCAGGTATAGAAACTTTTAAGTTGATATAGTCCTACCTATTGATTTTTTTTTCTTTTGTTATTTGTGCTTTTGATGACACACACACACACACACACACACACACACACACACGCCAGGCACGCCCTCGGCCGCGCAGGGCCTCCCCTAGCGGAGGAGGTGGCCCGGGGGCGGGGCGCGGCCAGTCCCGGCGCCGGGAGGAAGTGCCGGCCCCCTGCCTGGACTCCCGGGCGAGTCCTCCCGCGGGTCGGGCCATGGAGGCGGAGCCGCCGCTCTACCCGGTGGCGGGGGCCGCGGGGCCGCAGGGCGCTGAGGACCGGCTCGGAGTCCCCGACGGGCCCGAGGCCCCGGTGAGCGGGGAGGCGGATGGCGTCGGGGCGCGGGCACCGGGAGGGCCTGGGTCTCCCCGGCGGGAGTGGGATGCGGCCCCGGGGGGCGGGGGCAGCGGGGCTGGACGCGGGAGCGGCCGGGATGTGCCTTTGCGAGCGGCAGTGGTGCCCCGCAGCTGGACGAGCTGGTGGGCGCGTACCCCAACTACAACGAGGAGGAGGAGGAGCGCCGCTACTACCGCCGCAAGCGGCTCGGCGTGCTCAAGAACGTGCTGGCGGCCAGCGCGGGCGGCATGCTCACCTACGGCGTCTACCTGGGTAGGTGGCCGGCGGCGCGCCCCGCTGGGGGCGGGCTGGGCCCCGGGCCCGGCGAGGAGGCACTGCCCACGGGCTCCGCGCGGGGACCCAAGGCTCCCCCATCCTCCTCCGGCTCCATCTGCGGATCTGTTTCTCAGGGAAAGAGAAACCTCGGCCTTCCTTCCTCTTTCACTTCTCCGTCTGCGCCCTCGCAGATGCAGCTGCGGCGCTCCTTCAGTGGGGGCATCCCGGGGTGGGGGCCAGCCTCGGCCCTCAAGAGTCTGTGGGCGGCTCAGGGGGCCCTGGGCGGATCTGCTGCCATCCTCGGGGTTGGGGGCATGGGGGCTCTGGGGTCCGAAAGTCTGGCAGAGAGACTTTCGGCAGGGGAGGGGGGAGTCTAGATTCCAGTCCCCGTTGTTGCCACTGCCCGGTGGGACCTGGGCCTCCCGGCTGTTCTCCTGGGTGCTGCAGTTAGGGATCCCTTTGGTGCCTGGAGCGCTCTGGGGTCCGAAAGTCTGGCAGAGAGACTTTCGGCAGGGGAGGGGGGAGTCTAGATTCCAGTCCCCGTCGTTGCCACTGCCCGGTGGGACCTGGGCCTCCCGGCTGTTCTCCTGGGTGCTGCAGTTAGGGATCCCTTTGGTGCCTGGAGCTCCCTGCTGGGCTTTGCATTCCGGCCTCTGCTGGGTTGCCCCAGAGCCAGGCGGCCCCCTCCATGCCCGCTCCCTGCCCCCCAGGCCTCTTGCAGATGCAGCTGATCCTGCATTATGACGAGACCTACCGCGAGGTGAAGTACGGCAACATGGGGCTGCCCGACATCGACAGCAAGATGCTGATGGGCATCAACGTGACGCCCATCGCGGCCCTGCTCTACACGCCGGTGCTCATCAGGTGCGCCGGCCACAGTCCCTGCCAGGGCTGGGCTGCCCGGACTCCGACCTTGAAGGGGTACAAGGACTATTGGACATCAGGGTCTCCAGCTGCCCTGGTGTTCCTGGGGGCTGGGGAGAGGCCTTGCTGACTTGGAGGGGTGAGAGAGAAGGGGTGAAACCTAGGTTTGGGGAAGAAACAAGAGCTTTGACCTGGGACACCATGGGTTTCAAGCAAGAGAAATTCGCTCTGGCTCCTTCCTTCAGCTTGCCTGTACCCCACGTGGCATCATTCTCATGCCCTGCTTTGTGGCCTGGAGCCACAATGAGCTTATGAGGTCAGGGCTGTGGCGTTTCTGGAAAGAATCTGATCAGCCAGCAAAGCCCAGGGACACACCCCAGGACCCATCAGCGGTGGCAGTGTTGAGGGGCATTGCTCACTGCAAAGGGCATGGTTCGGCTGGTGCCCTGGGGGTGTCTACTCCAGACCTGAGCCTTACTGGCATCCGGGGCCATCGCCGGGCCCTCCACAAGAACCTAACCACCAGGTGGTAGGTCTGTGTTCAGATGGGACCCAGAGATCAGTGCGTATACTGGATCTCTTCCCCTGTCTTTCCAAAACAAGAGCAACCTCGCCCCACCCCCAAGCTTCTGGGCTGTTTCCTTGTCTTAAAATTAAAGAGAGAGAGGGGGTGAGGGAGAGAGAGAGGCTGAGAAAGAAAGGAAGGAAGGAAGGAAGAAAACCTCCTAGGATACATTTTCAGACCTGCCCTGACTAGGTCAGAGGCATATAAAAGGCTTTATTGCTCTTGAAACCTATCACTGTTATTCACAGCAACCTCATTTCCTTTGTGCTGGGCACTTTATAAGTGTATCGCATTCCCTACAATCCAAGGTGGATGCTCTAATCTTAGACACAGGGAAGCCAAGAGATTGAACCGATTCCCACAGGCAGAAGTGCAGACTGGAAAGCCTGAACCCAGGCAGAGTTACTTGGAACCCCCACGCTTTCCCTACCCCCATACTCCCAGATGGACTTTCCAAAGGACTGTACCACCTGCCTGAGCACTGACTGTGTCATTTTAAAAACCACAGCCTCACCAGCAATGAGTGTTAGTAGTTTTACTTTTTGCAGTTTCAAAATGTACAGTGCAGTTTCGGTGCCCTTCCCCAAATAGATCAGGGGAGGCTGAATGTCTGTTTATTAGATGGCAGTTCAGTTCACTTCAGTCTCTCAGTCTTGTCCGATTCTTTGTGACCCTGTGGACTGCAGCACGCTAGGCTTCCTTGTCCATCACCAACTCCTGGAGCTTACTCAAACTCATGTCCATTGGGTCAGCGATGCCATCCAACCATCTCATCCTCTGTTGCCCACCCCCTTCTCCTCTTGCCCTCAATCTTCCCCAGCATCAGGGTCTTTTCTAATGAGTCGACTTTTTCACATCAGGTCGCCAAAGTACTAGAGCTTCAGCATCAGTCCTTTCAATGAATACTCAGGGTTGACTTCCTTTAGGATTGACTATTTTGATCCAAGGTGCGTGACCACATGATCATGGCTATCTAGGTCATTAAGACCTTTTTTGTATAGTTCTGTGTATTCTTGCTACCTCTTCTTAATCTCTTCACAAGCAAGTGTACTCCAATAAAATAAAATAAAATAAAAAAGAACCAGGACCCTATTGTAGAAAAGATAGCAATTGTATCAGAAAACCAGAGTCACTGAACTTTTAGCTTGCTGGAAACTCAAAGAAAGGAAATAATGAGCACAAATACTCAAAACAGACAAACAAAAACCAGAACGAAGCTAATCCCAAGATCAGAGGGGTGGTTTCTAACCCGATCAGCCTCCACGCTCTGAATGGGCCCTTATCCTGTCATTTGTCAACCCCTTCCTAACACAGTGTGACACTTTCCAAGAGCCAGTGAGGCTGTTGTTCTAGGAGCCAGTGAAGAGGAAATTTCCCAACTGACCAAGCTGGACTGAAAGGGCAAAGTGCAGAGGGGACGTGGCGCTAGGGCTCTCTCCGTGGTCCTCAGCTTTCCTCCACCCAGTTTCCTGGGACAAGTTCCTTAGACATTCGCTTTGGGTCCTGCAGTCACTCTTCGTGGGTAGAGGAGGGGCCTTGTGTCCACAGGCCACTGTCTCCTGACACCTTCTCCTTGCTTTATCTCCTCTATCCCTGCGGTGGCCATGAGAAGCTCACAGCTGGGGCATGATGCACATTACATCTGTGTGGTTACAGTGGCTCACCTGAGGCCACCAGCAAGTCCGTATCTCTGAGACTAGTTCAGGTCCCTCGATTCCAAGGCCAGGGGTCTCTCCCCACCTCACCCAGCCTCAGGAGCTGGGACCCAGAGTTGTGGCCCCTGTGGTCTGGGGCCGCAGCTGCCTAAGTGGCCCGTGGTGCCAGCATCCTTCCTACCACCTGCAGGTTTTTTGGCACCAAGTGGATGATGTTCCTGGCTGTGGGCATCTATGCCCTCTTTGTCTCCACCAACTACTGGGAGCGCTACTACACGCTTGTGCCCTCAGCCGTGGCCCTGGGCATGGCCATTGTGCCCCTTTGGGCCTCCATGGGCAACTACATCACCAGGTGAGTCTGGTGGGCAGCAGGGTGGAAGACTGGGAACCCAACAGAGCTGTACTGCCCACCTCAGCTGGTGGACCTTAGGCCAGCCTTATTTGCCCTCTGGGCCTCAGCTTCCCCATAGGTGGGACACAGGCCGGGTAGCACATATGCTTGGGTACAGAAAGTAAGGCATCTGGCTGACATAGAGCTGGGGAAAGCCTTCTCTCCTTTGTGGTCCAGGATGGCCCAGAAATACTATGAGTACTCCCACTACAAGGAGCAGGATGAGCAGGGCCCCCAGCAGCGCCCACCACGGGGCTCCCATGCACCTTACCTCCTGGTCTTCCAAGCCATCTTCTACAGCTTCTTCCACGTGAGTGCCATACCTGGGGACCCTGGGGGCAGGCTATTTCAGGCCCAGAATCACATAGTGCAGCCCATCCCACAGTCTTTCCAGCCCTCTAGTCCACTGCCCTTTCTTAGGCCAACCCTTGCTTGCTTACCTCTAGAGACAGAGACCTCATTACCTCACTGTCCATGGTGCTGACCAGGAGGAAGTCCTCCTGCAATGGGCACCCCCCACCACCGGACTGCCCCCCAGAGGTGGGAGGGTCCCTGTCCTCCCAAGGCTGTGCCCAGACCCCTCCCAGATGGTGCATGTGCTCTCCGCCTGGTTCCACGCCCCACACTTGACCCACACCACCCTCTGCCCACAGCTGAGTTTCGCCTGTGCCCAGCTGCCCATGATCTACTTCCTGAACCACTACCTGTATGACCTGAACCACACGCTATACAATGTGCAGAATTGCGGTTAGTGCTCAGGGGGGTGGGTTCCCTAAGGTCTGCTCGCCTCCCCCACTGAGTCACCTGGCAGACACTGGGCCCTTAAGGGCGGAAAGGATGCCCTCGCTCACAGGATCCAGAGCTGAGAGCCTGCTGTCACAGCTCTGGAGATCAGGAAAAGCAAAGGGCCTTGTCCTTAGGACGTCTGACTCAGCCTGGGCTCAGGGTAGGGTGCATCAGGGAAGGCCGCCTAGAGGAGGTGCCGTCTGGGCTGAGGCTGCCTGTGGAACCTCTCAGGATCAAGTACACCCTCAAGGCAGGGAGATAGATGTATGGAGGTGGGCGGTGGGCTGGCAACCTGGGAAGAGGTACTTTCAGCCCCCTTGGCCCTCACCTCCAAAGTGCTTTCCAAAGGAGCCCTGCCTTTGCAGGCACGGGTCCTCCGCCACCCCCGCTAACACTCCCCGCACCCGTCTGCTTGGTCCCGTTTCTTTATGGCTGAGTTGCCAGTGTGCCCTGCTCCCTGCCTCACGATGCCCCCCACCCTCCCGTTTCTCAGGCACTAACAGCCAGGGCATCCTTCTCGGCTTCAACAAGACGGTTCTGCGAACGCTACCGCGGAGCCGAAACCTCATTGTGGTGGAGAGCGTGCTCATGGCGGTGGCCTTCCTGGCCATGCTGCTGGTGCGGCCCGGGGTGGGGGTGTGGCGGGGTCGGGTCTGGGGCTCCTGACGGGGAGCGAGGCGGCTTCGTCTGAGTCCGGAGTCAGGGCTGAATCCTCGGAGGGGACCTGAGCCTAGCGCTGGGCTTGAGGCTCGGAGGCGTGGTCGATGCCTGTGGACTGAGAGAGGAGTTGGAATACTGGAGGCCAGTGAGAGAAGGTCCAGGCCAGATCCGGGGTCGAGCTGGAGACAGGGTCCTGGAGGACTGGTTATGACACCGGGCGGAACCGGGGTTGAGGGGAATGGGGGGACGGGGCGAGGGTCCGAGGTGTGGGTCCGAGGTGTGGCTTCAACCTGGGGGCGGGGCCGGGAGGCCAGTCCTGGGATTTGCCGGGGGTGGGGCTGGGGCTGAGAGGGCGGGGCCGAGTTCAAGGGGCGGAGCCAGGACTCCCGGCTGCCCGCCCCCTCCCTCACCACCTGGCTCGCAGGTGCTGGGCCTGTGCGGAGCCGCATACCGGCCCACGGAGGAGATCGACTTGCGCAGCGTGGGCTGGGGCAACATCTTCCAGCTGCCCTTCAAGCACGTGCGCGACTTCCGCCTGCGCCACCTCGTGCCCTTTTTCATCTACAGCGGCTTCGAGGTGCTCTTTGCCTGCACTGGTCTCGCGCTGGTAAGTGCAGCCTGCAGAGGGTAAAGCCAGATAAAGTCCACGACATTTGAACTTTGGAAAAACAAGTTTCGAGTAAGTTTCGAATTGATCAGTCAGTTCAGTTCAGTGGCTCGGTGGTGTCCGACTCTGTGACCCCCACGGACTGTATGTAGCACGCCAGGCCTCCCGGTCCATCGCCAACTCTGGGAGTTTACCCAAACTCATGTCCATTGAGTCGGTGATGCCATCCAACCATCTCATTCTCTGTTGTACCCTTCTCCTCCTGCCTTCAATCTTTCCCAGCATCAGGGTCTTTTCAAATTTCGAATTTATAAGTATGTGTAATACAAATACAGTCAGCCCTCCACCTGTGCAGATCCACAGGGCCCACAGTACTACCGCATGTTATAGAAGAGACCTGAGCATCCACAGAGGGCATCCGCAGAGAGTCCTGGAGCCACCCCCCCGCAGACACCGGGGGACAATCATAGGCCCAGATATCCTCCCCCTCTCCTTCTGCCTCTCTCCCCCAATCCCCGTGTACCTTGGGAAAGTTACTTTCACCTCTCCCAGCCTGCTTCCTCATCTGGGAAGTGTCTGATGACTCACTTCCAGTTGAGACAGAATCGGGCCCAGAAAGTGTTTGGTTCCATGCGGGTTCCAACCTTGGTGTCTGGGGCCACTGTCCAAGCATTTCCTCGTGGTCTATCCCTAAGGAAACTCCCCACAAGCTTTGGAGGAAGTTGGCCCTGTGGTGGCCGTTGAGAGGGCAGGGTGTGGCCTGACCTGAGTGAAAGAGCCTGGGCCAGCTGACCACCAACCTCACCCCCGTCCCCCTTAGGGCTACGGCGTGTGCTCGGTGGGGCTGGAACGCCTGGCGTACCTCCTCGTGGCTTATAGCCTGGGCGCCTCGGCCTCCTCAGCCCTGGGCCTGCTGGGGCTGTGGCTGCCACGGCCGGTGCCCCTGGTGGCTGGGGCTGGACTGCACCTGCTGCTCACTCTCAGCCTCTTCTTCTGGGCCCCCAAGCCCCGGACCCTGCAGCACATCTGGATCCTCTACGCAGTAGCCGTGCTCTGGGGTGTGGGCAGTGCCCTCAACAAGACTGGGATCAGCAGTGAGTACAGCCGTGGCGCTTGGTAGCTGGACAGGGGATCCAGTGGCTCCTTGGGTCAGTTGTGGGGAGCACAGACATCCCAGGGACAGACGTAGGGTCGATGGACGCTCTGGAGGGCTGTCATGAGGACTGTGCCCTGGTGGGTGCAGGTGGGATCCCTATGCACACTGTTGGTGGGGGGAAGTCCCGTGGACACTGCAGGGACAGATGGGGGCTGTGGACACCCTCAAAGCAGGTATGGAGTCACCTGCATGAACATCCTGTCGACTCCCAGGGCAGGCATGGGATCCAGGGTGACATTGTGTGGTTCCGTGAGCTGAGTATGGGGCTCTGTGGACACCCCTTCAGTTCAGTTCAGTTCAGTCGCTCAGTCGTGTCCGACTCTTTGCGACCCCATGAACTGCAGCACGCTAGGCTTCCTTGTCCATCACCAACTCCTGGAGCTTACTCAAACTCATGTCCATCGAGTCAGTGATGCCATCGAACCATCTCATCCTCTGTCGTCCCCTTTTCCTCCCGCCTTCAATCTTTCCCAGCATCAGGGTCTTTTTCAATGAGTCAGTTCTTCACATCAGGTGGCCAAAGTATTGGACACCTGTTAGGAATCATGTAAAAAAAAACACTGGGGAGGCCTTATTTCATACTAGGGGGCAGGGTCCACCTTGGCATAGTTTTCAGAACACTGGAAACATATCAAGGTCTCTGCCCCAGAACAGGTCCGTTGCATCCCAGAATAATAAGCAGGGTGTGTCCATTAGGGGGCTCACTGGAAAAGTCCCTGATGCTGGGAAAGATTGAAGGCAAAAGGAGAAAGGGTCAACAGAGGATGAAATGGTTAGTTAGCATCACTGACTCAATGGACATCAGCTTCAGCAAATTCCGGTAGATGGTGAAGGACAGGGAAGCCTGGAGTGCTGCAGCCCACGGGATCGCGGAGTGGGAGACGACCGAGTGACCGAACAACAACGAACCACTAGGGGGCAAGCCAGGACCGGTTTACAACAGCTCTCTAAGGGCTCTTGCCAAGGGCTGGGACCAGCGCAGGGCATGGGGGGGTCCCCAGAGGGAGAACCGCAGCTCTGGGCCCCACCTGGCTCCTCTCCCCTCTCTGCCCTGCCCTGTCTGCAGCACTCCTGGGAATCCTGTATGAGGACAAGGAGAGGCAAGACTTCATCTTCACCATCTATCACTGGTGGCAGGCTGTGGCCATCTTCACCGTCTACTTGGGCTCAAGCCTGCCCATGAAGGTGAGGACCCTCCCTACTTGACTCCCTAGACAACAGGTACTTTTGAGTGCCCGCCCTGGCCTCACAGACCCTGAAAGGCATTCTCTGTCCGAGAGCCAGACCCTGGGCAAAGCCCACTGGCTTGTTACTTACTGCTTCATCTCCTGCCAGCCTCAGTTTACCCGTGTCTGAAAGGGTTCATAGTTTGCCCTCTAGCCTTGTGGGCACGTCCCAGCTGCCTTGTGGGCTGTTTGGCCACCTGTTAACTAGATGTTGGGCTCCGAGCTGGATGCTGAAAGTCTGTCTCCCTTCTTGACCCTCAAGGGTCCTGGCCAACTTTAAAAACAATGAAAAAATTTTTTTATTTATTTGGCTGCACTGGGTCTTAGTCGCAGCACACAGGATCTTAGGTGGAGCATGTGGAATCTAGTTCTTTGGCCAGGGATTGAACCTGGGCCTCTCGCATTGGAAGCACAGAGTCTTAGCCACTGGATTATCAGGGAAGTCCCTGGCGAACTTTTTTTTTTTTTTTCTTAAATGAAATAGCATAGGGAATAGCAGGGAGTATGCCTGTGAATATGTGTGAATGTACTGCCTTATGATGTAAAATTATTTCTGACTGCCTGTTACAGTCAAACCCTGTAACAAGTGTCACTTATGGTCCTCAGATGTAAGGGAGAGAGTAATTTAAGCCCTGTTAAGGTGGGCCAAACCTCCCTTCACGTCTACCCCGGGAGGCAAAAGGATTATCATTACAGTAAGGGAAACCGAGGCCCTGAGAAGTAGGGTGGCCGTAAAGGACAGGGCTGGGGTTCGGGCCTTGCCGGCAGGACGGTACCCAAGAAGCTTGGCTGGACCCCTGGAGGAGGGACCGCAGCAGAGCAGCTGAGCGTGCCTCTCCGGGCGAGGGGCTGGGCCGGGAGGGCCGCGGCCGGCGGCCCGCGGGTCCCCTGCATTCTCCCCGTTTGCCCAGGCTAAGCTGACGGTGCTGCTGGTGACGCTGGTGGCGTCCGCCGCCTCGTACCTGTGGATGGAGCAGAAGCTGCGGCGGGGCGTGGTCCCGCGCCAGCCCCGCATCCCGCGGCCCCAGCACAAGGTGCGCGGCTACCGCTACCTGGAGGAGGACAACTCGGACGAGAGCGACGCGGAGGGCGAGCGCGGCGGCTGCGGAGGCGGCGGCCGGGGGGACTGCGCGGAGGAGGAGGCGCCGCCCGCGGGGCTACGACCCGGCCCGGAGCCAGCCGGTCTCTACCGCCGGCCCTGCCCCTACGAACAGGCGCAGGGAGGCGATGGGCCAGAGGAGCAGTGAGGGACCAAGCGTGATCTCCGGCCTAGGTTTAACGCGTCTCAGGTCGGGGCCCCTCTGATTCCGCGCGCCAATTTCATGAAGGACCCTCTGCGCGCCCCGCCCCGGGTTCAGGAACGCCCCTCCCAGAGCCTGGCCACCTGGAGCTTGGGATCCTCCCCGCAGCCTCTTCCAAGGCGGGCTGGGTCCTCGAGACCCCTCCGCCAGGCCCAGGGTTCAAGAGACCGCACAGCGGAAATCCTCCTCTGACCTTAGGGGTCCTCTCTCCACGACCCCCTTCCCGGCCCCAACCCCGGGGCAGGGACCCCGCCGTCCCTCCCCAGCTCCCGGCTCCAGGTCTGGGCCGATCGACGTGTCGCCTGCTTTGCACATTCTATCCCACGGTCCGCCAAGATGTACGACTTTAAGAAAATGGACAATAAAGAGATTTTTGTATTTTCCTGATTGGGAAGCGTGTCGTGGGTGAGCAGAGATGGCCCGGCGTGTGTGGCCAGGTGACCTAGCCGACTGGGGCCCTGGGGTCGCCTGCCTTGAGCTGAGGTTGGGGAGGGAGGGTCCCCTAAGCCCCGCTCACCAGGCCGTCCCGCTCCTGGAGGTACCGCCCCTCCCCACCCCCGCTGGCTTTTGCCAGTTCCACCCCACCCACTCAGGACAAAGAGGCGCCTGGGGGTCGTCAGTAGGGACCTCAGGGGAGTGTGATGGGACAGCCAGCCCGCCCCCCCCCGCCATGGTCTAGAGGAGGGGATGGAATCCTGCAGCCCAGGTCCCGCTGCCCCCTGCTCTAACATCCCCAGCCCTCCTGCCCCATCCCCATCTTTTCTTTACCCCTTGGGCCGCTTCTGCCCACAGCTCCCCAAGGGACTCCTTTTGGGGCCAAGTCCATTTCTGAGCCATGCGAGGGTCACCCCGTGTCCAGTATGGGCCTGGGGCACTGATGTCTGAGCCCAGCTAAACTTGGCTGCTGGTTCTTCCGGGGTGACAACCTACTCTGTGATGTCCATGAGGGATGCAGATGCTGGTGGGAGGGGGCAGACCCCTATCCCCCGAGGTCACCCACCACTGTGGGGAGAGGGGACTGAGATCCCACTGTGAGGGGAGGCAAGGGGACCACAGGAGGGTCCTGGAGCCCAGCTGCACCCCAGCAGATCCGTACCAGCAATGCTGGAGCCAAAGCATTCCTCCTCACACCACATCCACCCCTGGCTGACTCCCAGACCCTTGTCCACACCCACTTCAGCATCGGTCTCCTAGCTTCTTCCACCCACTGTGGCCCTCTCTCCTTTGCCTCCTGCAGACCTCACTTGAGTTTGGTTCCAGCAGCCTCAGCGGGCCCTGGAGCCAGACTCTTGAACTCAGACAGGGGATCAGCCCATCTGAGCCACTTTCCTCCTCTGTAAACGGTATCTGTGGTGGCACCAAGGTCCCCAGAGCTTGTAGGAAACTCACAAGGGCACAGAGGATATTTTAAATTGTCTAAAATGTGGACATCTCCCCACTCTGAGCAAATTCACAGGTTCAGCATTAGATGACACCACAAATCCTTTCATGTCACATCTTTGAGAAGGTGGGTTTCCTGTGGTTTCGGGATAAAAAAATGGACATGACCATGGAGCAAGAAATGAGACCGGGGGTGTCCCATCTGATTCCAGGTTTGAGAAGCTGACTGGTGAACACAGCCAGTTTGTAAGTCACAGTGGTTATTGTTGTCGAGTCATTATGTCATATCCGACCCTTCTGTGACCCCATGGACTGTAGCCCACCAGACTCCTTTGTTCATGGGGTTGTGAAGGCAAGAATACTGGAGTGGGTTGCCATTTCTTTCTCCAGGGGATCTTCTCAATCCAGGAATCGAAACTGAGTCTCCTGCATGTGTCTCCTACATTGTAAGTGAATTCTTTACCACTGAACTACCAGTGAAGCCCGGTGGTTATTAGCGAAGGAAATAAAAATGCCACTTTTTCTTTCTTTCTATTGGTGTGTATTATTCAATATATTTTCTAAGTGACTATTAAGTTATTAGATCATACTTATTTATTGATTGGACCTAAAATAATTCACAAATAGAACAGTTATATATTTCTTTTGGCTTAGGAGCACCGTGAAAAAATTACTGAGACACTGAGGGTTTAGGACCAGGGAACGCTTGGGCAGCTCTGTGTTAGCAGAGGGCTGGCATGGAGTTACCCATAGGGAGTCCCTCGTTGGACCCTGGGCCCCCCTCCTGCCTTGTCCAGAGAACTGCAGCATCTTTTCTGGCCCCAGCCTGGGGATGGAGATTAAACCTATAGTCTGTGATGCCCCAGGCCCTGCTCTGAACCAGCATAAACTAGTCATTAAGTTGTTTTTGGCAGATTCGAGGATCCTGCCATATAGGAGGGCAGCGAGGCCCACTCCTCTCCACAGCCTCCCCAGCAGGTGATCTCTAGACTCAGACAGATGGAGGGGCTGAAAACTGCCTGCCTCATACACAGACTTTCAATGACAAGCAGACCCAGACTGGGTCATGCGGGGGGGGCTGGCACCCTGTCCTCCCCGTTCCCCAGCAGTATCTGGCATGGAAGGCAATATTCTCTGATGGCAGATGTGATGACCTCCTTCTGGCAGGGTTCCAGCCAGACAGAGCTGGGCAACCAGATGCTTGAGCCATAAGCAGGGCAGGGCATCATTTGGAAAAGTGTGGGTGCCTGGGCATGCCAGGCAAGCGAGGGGAGGGGAAGACAATGGATCTACAGCTGGCCACAGTTCAAAGTCATTTCCAGGGATGAGCCCAGGCACGCGGAGCAGCCCCCTGGGAGAGAGCATGACTTCCAATGACAGGCCTTGCAGGTGGGTAGGCTCACCATCAGGAGACTTCACACCCCCCTCCTACTGCTCCTGGCACTTGGACAAGACCCACAGACAGACACACGGAACAGGCCACACCCATAACAAGCAACATACACACACACATACACACCCAGAACAAGCAGGATAACTGTCACAGCAGCAAGCCCCAGCCGGCCAGCTCTTACAGGGACGCCTAATTAAGCCATCAGATGTGGATGCTCCATCCCTTGGCAGCTCCAGGTCTGGTTGTAAAGTATAATATTGATGTCTCTGTCACCTCTGGGTAAGGGGACCGGGTGGCCGTCTGGAGTCCAAAGTGGAAAGTCAGACTCAGCATCATGGTCTTGGCTTCTGTGATTCTGTGTCAATCTGCCCTTGGGTAATTTTAAAAATTATATGATTCCAAGACTCTACAGTGTAAGATTTTAACAATCTTCTCAATATGGATTTGCCTCTTCTAGACATTTCATGTAAAACAAATCATTCAACATGTTCCCTTTGATGTCTGTTTTTTTTTTCCACTGAATCTAATGTTTTCAAGTTTCATCCATATTGTAGCACATGTATAGGTCCTTCATTTTTTTAAAAATAGACTATATTTTAGAGTGGTTTTAGGTTCACAGCAAAGCTTCATTCCTTTCTAAGGTGGAAAAATATTCCATTGTATGGATACACCATATTGGTTTATCCATTCATCCACCGATGGACATTTGGGTTGTCTCTACATTTTGGCTGTTGTGAATAATGCTTCCATGAACATTCATGAACAAATATTTGTTTGAACACCTGTTTTCAATTTGGGAAAGTGTACACCTAAGACTGGAATTGCTTGGTCATGTGGTACCTATGCTAAACTTTTTGAGTAACTGCCAAACTCATTTCTAAACCTGAGGCATCATTTGACAGTCTCACCAGCGGTGTATGGAAATTCTAATGTCTACACACCCTTGCCAAGACTTGTTATTTTCTGTTTTTATGGTTTTTTGTAGTTGTTATTTCATTATAGCTACCCTAGTGGGTATGAAGTGGTACCTTATTGTGTTTTTGATTTGAAATTCTATAATGATCCGTGAGACTGGTCATCTTTTCATGTGCTTTTTGATCATTTGTATATCTTCTTTGGAGATAGGTACTTTGCTATTCAGGTACTTTGCGCATATTTAAATTGGAATTTTTACTTCTTGTGGCTGAGTTGTGAGACTTCTTTATATATTCTAGATATATAACCCTTATCAGATTATATTGCAAATATTTTCTCACATTCTGTAGGTTGTCTTTTACTTTCTTAATAATGTCCTTTGATGCACAAAAGTTTTCAATTTTTGTAAATCCCAGTTTATCTATTTGTTCTTTTGTTGTTCATGCTTTTGGTGTCATATTTAAGAATCCATTGTGAAATCCAAGGTTATGAAGATTCACTCCTATGTTTTCTAAGAGTTTTATTGTTTTAGCTTCTATACTAGGTTGTTGATACATACTGAGTTAATTTTTGAATATGGAATTAAGTAGGTATTCATCTTCTTTGGCGTGTGGTTAGTCTGGTGTCCCAACACCATTTATTGAAGAGACTATTCTTTCCATAGTTTCCCTAGTGGCTCAATTGGTAAAGAATCTGCCTGCAATGAAGGAGACCCGGGCTTGATCCCGGGATGGGGAAGATTCCCTGAAAGAAGGAATGCTACCCACTCCAGTACTCTTCCTTCTTTCTTTTCATACTGGATGATCTTGGCATCCTTGTTGGAAATCAACTGGTCATAGATATTTGGGTTTGTTTCTAGACTCTTAATGCTATGTTATTGGTCTATCTGTCAGTCCTTAAGCAATAATCAAAATGTCTTTAATTGCTATAGTTTGTAATAAGTTCACACATCAGGAAATGTAATGTAAGTCCTCTAACTTTGTTTTTCTTTCTATATACATTTTTTGCTATTTAAAAGATGAGGATTGGACTTACAATTACATATGAAGATTGGCTTTTCCATTTCTACAAAACATTAGAGTTTTGATAGAGATTACATTGTATCATAGATCATTTTGAGGAGCATTGCCATATTAAATATTATTCAGTTTTTCATCTCTCAGGCCTTCACTTCCAAGGTGACCAAGGAAAAAGAAGGAACAACAGTCAGGCCAAAAAGGGCGGTGGCCACGTGCAGCCCACCCACGGAGTCAGCTGTGCCCGGTGTGCGCTCAAGGACAAGGCCATTAAGAAGTTCATCAAAACATAAGTTCATCAAAACATAACAGAGATTGCGGCCGTCAGGGACATTTCTGACGCAAATGTCTTCAATGCCTACATGTCTCCCAAGGTGTATGTGAAACCACAATACTGTGTGAGTTGTACCATTCATAGCAAGGTAGTCAGGAACCATTCCCGCGAAGCCTGGAAAGACTGAACACCCCCAGCCCAATTTAGAACGGGGGGTGCTGCCCCATGACCTTTGCCAAAGACCAAGTGGGGAGCTAAGTCCCTAATGACCAAAGAAAAACTGCCCTCTGGAAAAAGGTGAAGTCAAAATTATATTTTAAAAATCTTAAGTTTTCCAATCCATGAACATGGGATATCTTTCCACTTATTTATATATTCTTTAATTTCTTCCTGCAGTATTTTGCAGTTCAGCGTAAAAAAATTTCCCCTTCCTTGGTTAAATTTATTCCTAGGTATTTTATTCTTTTGGATGATATTGTAAATAGAATTGTTTTCTAAATTTCCTTCTCAGATTGGTCACTGCCAGCATATAGAAACACAGCTGATTTTTGAGCATTGATTTTATATCCTATAACTTTGCCAAATGTGTTTATTAGCTCTAGTAGTATGTGTGTGTGTGTTCTATGGGATTTTTTTTCTTAACCTCACCACGTGGGTTGCAGGATTTTAGTTCCCTGACCAGGGATCAAACCCAGGCTCTTGGCAGTGAGAGAGTGGAGCCCTAATCACTGGACCACCAGGGAATTCACCATCTTTGGAATTTGTTTATGTGTAGAATCATATCATCAGCAAATAAAAATTGAATTATTCTTAAAAATATTTATTTAGGCTGCACTAGGTCTTCACTGCTGTGAGAAGGCTTTCTTCAGCTGTGGCAAGCAGGGGCTACTGTTAGTTGTGGTGTTCAGGCTCCTTATTTCGGTGGCTTCTCTTGCTGCAGAGCATGGCTCTAGGCATACTCTAGGCTTCAGCAGTTGCGGCTTGTGGGTTTAGCTGCTCCACAGCATGTGGGATCTTCCCAGACCGGATCTCGAACCTGTGTCCCCTGCATTGCAGGCAGATTCTTTACCATCTGAGCCACCAACTCTATGTAATGTTCTATGATAGTAGAAGACGCTGCCGCTCACAAAGTCATAAACACATGGCAAATGTTAAGATCTGATGAGGCTGGGTGTTGTGTGTGTGAATGATCGTGTTTTCCTGTGTATTTTTTGCATGCCAGAAATATTACGTAAGGTTTAAAGAAAAAAAGAAGACCCTTTACACCCCAGATGCTACTGTTCTCCATATCCCGAAGGTCAGCGTGGTTAAGAAGAACTTCAGCTCTCAAGACCGTGCATTTCTCTGGGTCCAGGTTCTCAAACAGTTTTCACAAACTATGATTCAAGCCCATCCTGGGACCACAGCCCCCCAGCTGTCCCTTTGGCCCGGTGATGTGAAGGGCAGGCAGGCGCCTCTGGCCTTGCCTTTGCTCCTGGCCACACCCTCACCAGGCTGGGCCCTTGAAGCTGGATAGGACACACAGACTCCCGTCCTTCCCCCCACCCCTAGGCCTCTCACTGCCCACAGTGCTTTGAAGTTTCTGGAAACATCCAACCCGCTCCCATAATGACTTTCCAGTGACCTCGTGAGATGGGTGTCACAGTTGGCTGCTTTCTCCCCATTCTGTGGATGGGAAGACTGAGACTCTGGGCATTCTGGACAGGGCTGGTTCCCAGCTGGGGAGCCTCCCTGCGGAAGAGCCACAGGGAGGCTGCCAGGGGCCCAGGATCTGACACAAAACTTACTGGGTGGCTTTTGCTAGGAATGACCAGGGAGCCACCATTTGTTCCCTCCAGGGAACCCAGTGCCACTTTCAAAATCCATCTGAAATTCACGATCACTTGGAAACTAGTAAAGATGCTGATGCCAGGGCCCATCCCACACCTGCGGGGGCAGAAGCCCAGAGTGGGGCCCTGGCATCTTCAGGTCCCCAGGGCAAGTTTGAGGGTCCCCAAATTAACCTGTTGAGTCCCACTGAAGAGGCCAGGGTCCCGGAGTCCTGGGCACTGCTGTTTCTTTTCTCCCTAAGAAGGACCCTCTTCACAGAGTACCCAGCCACTTGGCCCTCTCTCCCTCCTGCCTAAGGGCTTCCCAGGGGGCTCCAGGGTAAAGAAACCCGCCTGCCAATGCAGCAGATGTGACTTCAATCTCAGAGTCAGGAAGATCCCCTGGAGGAGGGCATGGCAACCCACTCCAGTATTCTTGCCTAGAGAATTCCATGGACAGAGGAGCCTGGCGGGATACAGTCCGTGAGGTAGCAAAGAGTCNAATCATCTAGTGGGGCGGCTCTGAACTTTAGGGACAATGTCATTCCCCTGGGGACACTTGGCAGTCTGGCGACATCCTGTTTTGTCGTAACTGCGGAGGTGTAGAGCCGGGGAAGGCCAGCAGTCACAAAAGCTGAGGAGACGCAGGAGGGGAGGACCCCCCTGGAGCCCCGCCAGCATGTGGGTTTCAGACTTCTGTCCTCCATAACTGGGAGATCGTAACCCCCTGTCTCCAGCCACTGCCGTCGTTGTGGTTCGTTATCTCAGCCCCAGGAACCTGATCCGAGACATTTGTAGAGCATCTCACCATTGTCGCACTTTGCATTTCACACTTGCTGTGGAGGCTGAAAATACTTTCACTTGCTTGTGGGCTATGCAGGCTTCTAGTGGATTCAGTTCAACGTGGTTTAGTTCGTTTAGTTTTCTGTTTGTTTGCTTTTGGCCGTGTGGCTTGTGGGAACTTCGTTGCCCAAGCAGGGATTGAACCAATGCCCTTGGCAGTGAAAGCGTGGAGTCCTAGCCACAAACTGTCAGGGAATTCCCTGGTTTGTCTCACTTTAACAGAGTGAGATACAATTGGTGAATTGCACAGTCTGGTGGTTCCCAGGAGGCGGGCGGTAGCCCACCCCACCATACCCACCCCCTGCTCTTTGGTTGCTCTTGCCAGCCCTGACTTCCCTTCTGAGGCCTTGTGTGGCTCCCACTGGCCTGGTTCCCATCACAGCCAAGGAGCACCTCACAGCCCCACCTGGGGTGCAAGCTGGTTCCCGTGCTGTGCCCGGACCTGCCCTCCACAGCCCTCGGCCATGGGGTGATCCTGATCTCTTGGGACACTCTTGGGGGTGGAGGGCAGACGGGGCACACCACACAGGAGGGATTAGCAGTGGGGCCTGAGTGCATTCTTCTGCTTCCCAGAGCCTAGCAGGTGCTCTAGAAAGACTGGGGGAAACGTCAGGAGCCAATGCTTATGAGCGCTGATTTCCCGTCAGGAGGCGTGGCATCTATAGCTATTCCTTCATCTGGTCCTGAGGTCCTCTAATTGCACTTGTTGCCTCAGGGAAGCTCAGGAGGTTAAGCAACTTGCCTGTGCTGTGTGTTTAGTCACTCCATTGTGTCTTTCTGACCCTGTGGACTGTAGCCCGCCAGGCTCCTCTGTCCTCGGGATTCTCCAGGCAAGAACACTGGAGTGGGCTGCCATGCCCTTCTCCAGGGGCTCTTTCCCACCCAGGGATCAAACACAGGCCTCCCGCTTTGCAGGGGGAATCTTTACCGCCTGAGCCACCAGGCAAGCCCAAGTAACCTGCCTAGGGCCCCACAGTGAACAGGAGAATAAGGGGAAGAAGGAACACGATGTGACAGCCTATGGCCACAGGGGCCCCTGGCCCATCCACCCTCTCTCTGCAGCTGCCAAGGTCCCTTCCTCTGCTCTGAGGATGCCAGTCGGGCACATGAGGACAACGCAAATGAAGGAGCCCTGTGGGGTAGGAATGAAGGCACAGACACGAGGATCTGGTGCGGGGACCTGGGTGACTGCCCTCCTGGCTGAGGGCATCCTGGAGGAGGCTGCCAGGGTCCCACTGACAAAGTACTGATGCTTTCAAACTGTGGTACTGGAGAAGACCCTTGAGAGGCCCTTGGACTGCAAGGAGATCAAACCAGTCAATCCTAAAGGAAGTCAACCCTGAATATTCACTGGAAGGACTGATGCTGAAGCTCCAATACTTTGGTCACCTGATGCAAAGAGGCGACTTATCCGAAAAGACCTGATGCTGGGAGAGACTGAGGGCAGGAAGAGAAGGGGACGACAGAGGATGAAATGGTTGGGTGGCGTCACAGACTCAATGGACATGAGTTTGAGCAAACTCCAGGGGATAGTGAAGGACAGAGGAGCCTGGGAGTTGCAGTCCATGGGGTCGCAAGAGCTGGACACTTAGTGACTTAGCAACTGAACAACAACCTTTCTCCTTATCCTGTAACTTTCTGCCTGTCCTTCCCAGCAATCACAGTATCACCTGGAGTCACCTGGAGTTGCCAGACCTGTTCCAGGGACTAGCTGTGCCAGGTGAGGCAGCTGCAGGATGTGCTTCTGTGTGAATCAGCAGGAGGCCAGGCCAACTGGAGCTTAGGCTTGGTGATTTGTCACCCAGGTACCTCTCCACTGCCAGACGTGGGCGCAGGGCTTCCAGTGGGGGGCTGCGCATGCAGCCTGACGAGGCGGAGTGAGAGCGTACATCTGGAGGCAGAATGTCAGGCATAAAAGGCCCAGGCTCGGTAAACGATCCAGAGTTGGAGTCCACACCAGGGTACGTGGGGTTGGGTTGTGGGGGAGGGGGCGAGCCAGCAGCACAGGGTGGGGGAGTGGGGAAGAGAAGTGGGATCCTGACTCCGTGGGCTCCCAGGGCTGGGGGTCCGGGGGCCTGGGGCCTGGCTCAGAGCAGGGAGGTGGTGTTGCCCTGCCCCACAGGCTCCCCAGGCTGGGGTAAGAGGTGGATAGACAGGGGCCGGCCAGGTGTGACCTGGGCTGTGCTCAGGAAGTGCTGGGGGAGTTGGGACAGGGGAAGGGAGCAGCTCCTTGCAAAAACAACACTCACTGTTCATTTCTGATTCTGGACATGTTGCATTCTCATGGTAGAAAATTTGGAAGCTACAGAAAGATGTTGTTGAGAAGTCAATAAAAAGCACAGGGCGGGACTTCCCTGGGGATCCAGTGGTAAAACTAGCACACTTCAGTGCCAGTGGGGGAGGGACTGCAGGGTCACAGGACCCGGGGCTGAAGCTGCTGTGTAGACCCCATCGTTTGGAGGGCAAATGATGGGTGGGCTGACCTCAGCCCCACCCAGTGCCCCACCTCCTCATTGATTGGGCAATGGTGGGGGTGGCCTGAGGATGTGTTCCCTGGGCTTTGATGCATTCTGGAGGCATTCAGCCCTAGAGAGGCTCTAGAGAGCCATGGACGAAGCCAGGGCAGGGCCAGTGGGACCAGGCACCACCAGAACTCCAACAGGTAAAGCTGGGTGGGACGGGTGATGCTGGCGCCTCTGGGGCAGCCCTGGAACTTGAAGGCCTAAGGGTGCTCCTGGCCACCCTGGACCAAGGGTGGGCAGGGCCGGTGGCCAGAGGAGGCCCGCAGCCCCAGCCGCTCCGGGAAGCACTCAGGAGGAAATGGCCCTGGTTGGTCTTGGCGCTGAGCCTGGGCCTGGGCGGGGACTTCCTGATCTCCCTCTGCCTCTCTGCCATCTGGGACAAGGGGCTGGGGTCTAGGTGGGACCACCCTGGGCCTGGCTATGGGAGGGCACACCTTGTGTCCCCTTCCAGCCCAAGAAAGGGCCAGGATACCTGCCTGGCCAACCACAGGTGGGAGCAGGCAGGTCCTGAGTTCCCCCTAAGAGCTGAGCTCTCACTGCCCACCTGCTGAGGGGCCTCACCCACATAGCCAGCCTTCCCCTTCCCACCCAGCAGGACTTCCATGTCCCTGGTGTCCCCAGGGCAGGCCTATGACCTGGAGGCACTTGCCCAAGGCTAGACACAACCCAGCAGGAGGGAGTGGAGGGTAAGAGTCTTGGGGCCAGATCCCTGCTCTGCCTAGCACCAGGTGTTGCCTGGGAATGTGCCCAGCTTCCCCCCCGTGCTCCTCAGCTTGGAGGCCCCCTGAGCAGTGCACCAGAGCTCGCCCGGCCTTACGGTCTCTATGAACAGTAAGCACAGTGGCCAGGCCCCACTGAGGCTGGCCAGGCCTGTGCTGTGCACGCCCACGGAGACGTCTGTCCCCACTTCCCAGTGAGGAGACTGAGGCTCGGCGGGGGGTGCGGAGGTACAGGGTGCCCAGTGGGGACACTGAGACCTGCCTCACTCCATGCTCAGTGCTCTGAGGCAGAGGTCCTGGGCTCAGGCCTGTGAGACGCTGCTGGCTCACATCAGCACACAGAGAAAGGGAGACACAGACAGACACAGAGACACAGAAAGACGCAGAGACACTCAGATAGACAGAGATCTGGAGGCACAGGCGATGGTATGGCTCTGGGGCCCTGGTTGGGGTGCTCAGAGCCCTTTCTTGCTCAAAGTCCAGGTATTTCCCCCCAGAGTCCCTCCTGGGCTCCTTCTTCCCACCCCCATTCCCCATCCCCCTCCCCTCCAGCCCTGCCGGGGTTCCCTTGGGTGTCAGACTGAGTCCAGATGGGCTCCAGGCTCCAGGCTGTCAGCTGTGCCTCCCCGGATGCCCCGCCCACCCCATTGCTCCTTGTTCCAGAACCACCTCCCCAGAGCACAGGGAGCCGTCCCTTGCTCTGGGGCCCTGCGGCACACCCCAGCCTAAGTTGCCCCATCTGCTACTGCAAAGTTCTGTGGTCTCTGAGGCAAAGAACCCCTCAAGGCCCTGTGGGGGGTGTCCGTGGGCCCACGTGGGTGTGAACAAGGGCTGTGGAGGGGTGGTGGAGGTGGGGGCACCCCGACCCATGCTGCCCCCGCCCAGCAGGATGGACCCCTTCGCGGACACCCTGCAGCGGCTGCGGGAGGCCTTCAGCTCGGGGCGCACACGGCCAGCAGAGTTCCGGGCCGCCCAGCTGAACGGCCTGAGCCGCTTCCTGCGAGAGAACAAGCAGCTTCTGCTGGAGGCGCTGGCTCAGGACCTGCACAAGGTGGGTGGGGGGCGGGGTCGGGGGAGGAGG